GTGCTTCAGCTTACTTTATCTGGTTGGTCAAGTCAAAGGATGTATCAAAGCCAAATCAAAGCCTTGACATGACATATTTGGATTCAAGCACACCTTTCATTTTTACAATTAGCGTTTGACCATTTGACAATTGTTGCGTCAATCAGGTCAATTCGCTGAAGCGGAAATCTGGGACGGCTTCACCGAATCTTCTCTGGAAGAAGCTTTGCGTTCGGTTTGTGCTCCGCAGCCTCTTTCGCTGTTCGCTATCCCAGAGCTTGTGGGTCTTCGAAACAACCCAGATACTTGTCAACTCGTGCTATCCTTCCTGAAGCGGCGCTCAAATATTTTTAGCCTTTCGAGCAGTGTTTTTGGACATTCCGTGTCGCTCATTGACAGTCCTCCGCGACACACGGAAAAGTATGGTTTGGGAGGAAATGATTCCAAGGACGAGCCGGACACTTCAATGCCACAAAATCATGTTGCTGACAGAAGCGAGGCAAGAGCTTCTGAAGTGCTCAATTCTTTGTCATCCCACTTGTGCTCTGTCATCAATGAAGCTGGTGGACGCCTGAGCCTTGATCGGTTGGAATGGGATCAGGTTTGTATGGCCCAATTTGCCTCGCAAGTGGATCTTGAGAAGTACTTGGAGGAGCAACCGCATTTCCTCATTTGGGTCTCTGAAGGTGGCAAAATGGTGTCCACGGTTTCCGCTGACACAAGGCAACCCGGAGGGCAAGCAGGACAGGTGTCATCTAGACTGGACATCGAAATGCAAAAGCTGAAGCACTTAACATCTAAGTCCCCATATTTGAGGTTGCAGACGCTGCAGCTGGAGCTGCTGGCTCCAATAGACGTGAAGATCAAGATGCAGGATGCCATCAATATGTATATATATATATACATATCATATTTCTAAGCCCATGAAGTGTCTCCGTCTTGTCGTGCTGCTTGGATCTCCACCCCTGTTGAACCTTTTGACCCTGGAAGGAGCCTTTCGGATGCTTCTGCCTTCGCGTCTCAACAGTGAAATCTCAAGGGAAGTGCTGGAGATCTTGCAGTCCACGGCACATCGACTGCTGTACCGGGCGGATTCTTCCATGAAGGCATCGAAGTTGACGGACCCATCTGTGACGTCTCAGGAATCCAAAAATAATACCTCAAGTGCAGAAGAGTTGAAAGCATCTCTGCTCCCTGATAAGTGATCTCCGCAGGTGGCATTGCGAAGCGGTTGGTTGGAGCCAGCCATGCTACCATCCACGGTGCTGTGCCAAAAGGATCTGGATGACTTGGCCAAGAGGCCCAGCCGAGCGGAGTCAGGACAAGAGCATGACTTACTTTGTTCCGGATCAGTCTGAACAGTTGTGGGTGTCCCTGTCCACAGGCTAGGCTGGAGGAAGTTGCCTGGGCTCGTGCCAATCCCTGGATCACCCCATCGAGCCCATTTCAAGTCGTCAGACTCAGATCGACTTCGCAGCATCACAATTCATGTTGGCCGCCACTTGGATGCAGCATTTCACCAAGTTTATGATTAGTGAGATATATAAATCTACGTGCGAGTTTGGTCGTTGGAAGGGCAGTGTTGTTCCGAAAGCTGTCATCAGTTTATCCTTCGGTTGGGGGTTGCCGGCAAGTTGCTTCGTGAATGGCTTGACCTCAGGCTATTTGCCGGGTCTTTGGAGCAAAGCTGGCGATCTGTTGGATGCCGGTTCCACCATTTTCGTGGGCCCTGCTGGCTGTGGTAAAACCACGATCCTGCGTGATGTTGCGGTCAACATGTCCAAAGAACTGCAAGTGCCTCAACTTCAAAGATCTTCTATTGACTTGTCGTGCAGCCTTCCCGTAGGACATAGTAAGACAGGTGCACTGCGAGATGCATGGCACAGAGTGCCGTTTGTTTTGCGGATGTTCTGGTACCTGCTCACATGTTCAATTGTCCTGTTATAGACACCCAGCATCCAGCTTTCAATCATTTTGAGTTGGAAATGCTGATCTACCCTACTGCAGGTGTTGGTGCTTGACTTTCTGGGCCATTTGGCTGACATGGAGTCCTCTCCTGACCTTGACTACCAGTGCTGGGGCAGTGGCAGTGAAGCTCAGACAATCCGAGAAGCAATTGATGAACACGTCCCCGAGGTGCAGCGTGTCATTGGGGTTTTGCTTCTTGTTAGTTGGTAGTCCTTGACTGGCTTGTTCTTGTTATTTGTTTTTTTTTCCCGATGTGTAGCTCTGGGGTTCTCATGTTCGCAACCGTCCGCAACCATCCGCAACTGTTTGAATAATGTGAAGCAAAGGCTCTCTGGTTGGGGAAAGCTTCTGGATGGAAACGTGAGATCTCAGATTCGGGTGAAATAACGTTTCAAGTGTGAAGGATGATTCTGCTGCGCAGGCGCAATGTTTTGAGTCTGTTTCGTGTCCTGCCATTGAGATTGACAAGTGTCGCACAAGCGTGTTCTATAAGTATAAGAGAGAGTCCCACAAGAGTGTCCTACAACATTGCCCTACAAGTGTCAAGCAAGAGTGTCGCATGAAGGCGGTGTCCTTCAAGAGTGTCGCCCAGAATGTCCGTCCAGGGTGTCTTTGAAGAGTGTACTTACTTGTCAGACAATGTTTGGCTGTTTGTGTTTGCATATGTGTGTGCCCCGGGTTCGCGGGCTCTCTGTTTGAAAAACCCAGTCCAAAGGATATGTTGTGCGTGATTGATTGAGGTCATAGTAGCAGAGTTTCCCGACACTTATTCCGCTTTGAGAGCTGGGCGGGTATGCGCTGAAGCTGGTGTTCGCTTGGCTTGTTCTGTGCGAAGCAATCTTCGATTCCTGGTGGAGTCTTTTGTCCATGCTTACAGTGGCTCGCAGCAAGTACGGGACCTCGCATGTTTGACCTTTCCCTTTGCATCGGCTGTGCAACTTTCTCGGCAGATGGATGAATGGGACATTTATCGAGATGCCCCCGCGGTGGTTTGCAGCATGGGGCGATGCCGTCTTCCCACATGTGACATTCATCAAGGGTTTGCTTCCCAACACGTGGCTGGAGATGTTGGGAGCTTGGCAGAAATGAAAGACACAGCCGCCACTTCTCTTGCCGTGCCTGAAGCAGATTTCCCAATCGGACTTTTAGATGACTGAGCAGATGGTAAAGCACATCCCAGGCAATACTAATGAGTAGGTGGGAAAGACAATTTTCACTTGCTGACACCTTCTGAAGCCGCTTGAAGCCCTTGTGGCTTAAAAGCAGCACCTGTGTGGTGGCCCTGAACTCCAGTGCAAAGCAGTTAGAGCTGGTGAAGCACGATGACCTTGGAGGTGCCTGCGCTGCTGGAGAAAAAGACGTGTTGTGGAGGGTTGTTATGTCAACATGGAATGCTTTCAGGACCATATAATTGTTTAATGGGCGTGCACAACGAGGATTGTTGTAGTATACTTATATCTCTACTTGGTGCTCTTGCATTTGCAGCCATTTGTTGGGTCAATGCTTGAAATTGCAGGAACTATATAACCTCATGTGATTTTCTGAGTGCCAATGTTCCAGTTTGGAGCCATTTCAATTTTTTGAGATTTGCATCGCCGCTCACTACACGTCTTGGGCCTCACCAATCTCGCGACATCCGTGGCCGGTGGGTCGTGGCCGTGGAAAAGTGGAGGCTTTCAGAATGCCAATGACATCTGTGAGAGCCCCAAAACATTCGGGTAGGTTAACCTCCCTGGCAGTCAACCAGCGTCCCCCGGTGACATGACCCACAGCCAAAGGTTTCCATGGAATGGCTGACAATCTACAAAGAGCAGCCGAGTGCATTGTTACTCCAATGTAGCTGGGGGTAGGACATAGAGGGAACACGCTTGCTCCGAAAAATAAAGAAGTGTTCGTCGATGCAAAGCCGGAACATTCACGGTCTTCACATGCCTTGGCAAAACACAATCCTTTGTGCGAATGATCGCACTGCTTGCGACAGACACTTAACTTGTGCGACAAGCTCTCAAGTTTGTGTGCCGGTAATTGCTTGGTTCCTGGTTGAATGTGCATCCGCACTTCTGGCAGATGGCTTCAGTGATTGGTTCGCCGCCTTCTGTTCTTCATGAATTCAGGTGAGAGGTCAACTCGACCTCATCCCAAACCTCACCCAATGTGTAAACAAATGCGGTCCCATAAAGTTTGTTTCGACGTTTATTCATTCCCTCACATGCCCTGATTACATTTTTGCAGCCTGCTCAGCATGACTGGAACTGCACGCTGCGTAACGGTATCCGCAATCAGGCGGCCTTGTCCACAGCTGCTGCTGAAAAAAAAAAATCCGCGTTTCGGATAGCTCACAACTTGATGTATAGGTTATTTTGAACGGCGACCATCAGGCTAAAAACCAAAGCCCACAGTGTCCACAGTTTGCAGCTTTGGCCGGTTGGGAACCGTGCCACCGGGACGCGCGCGTTGAGAAGACGAACTCATGAGAAACATCTGACCTCACCCATTGCAGTTCCAAGAAGTTGTCGGTCCTCTTGCTGGCGTCACATGAGGCCACCCACGGCCCAAGAATTCTTGGCTCAAAATGCCCAAGTGACCAAGATGACGCAGCAGCAACCGAAGAGTAGGAGTTGAATCAGGAGGTTGCTGGTAGTGATAGTGACTTCAACCTAACTTTTTTGTTGGCATGTTTGCGGTTTTTTTTGAGCCCACAGGCTCAGGCTCCAGGGGTTGGCATTGTTGGCATGTGGCCATTTTCCTGACTCAGTTGGCTTTGTGACAGCCTTTTTGGCTCTCAAACAAGTTGCCCAAGAACCAAGTCAAGTGACTTTCATGATCGGGGCCAGAAACGGCCGCCTCACCATCAGAACGCGCAATTATCATGGCACAGCGCCCCAAAAAACCAATTGGACAACCTGAGCAGGCCATGAAAAACAGTGAGACACTGGCCACCTTACATGGTCAATACTTGGAAACGTTCCAACGTCAGAAAGACAGGATTTCATCCGAAACTTGGGCCTTTGAAACTTGGACTTGGCATTGCATGGCTGTGCCTGTAAAGGGCCATGCAGCCACTGACGGTTGGTGTGGAAGTTTGTGGCCGCATTCTTCGCCTCGAAACCTCTGAAGGTGCGGGAAATGGGGTGATTGATGCCCACCACGCGAGTGGAACTTCTGTAGGATGTGGTGTGGCATTCTGTCCATTGACTTCAAGCGTGGTGGCAGGTAACTAAAATTAGAGTTGGAACCCAACCTGCAGGCGATACCTTGGAAAGGGTGCATCAGCTCCTGGAAGATGTCCCAACATCAGGAGACCGTTGCCAAAATTCGGTCAGGTGCGTTTTTCTATGTGTTGGCGTGCTCAAATAAGACCCTGCAACCTTTGTAGATGAGAACGTGGGCCTGACGCAAAGTCACGACGTTGGGTGGGTGCGTTGTGTGTCCTTGAAATGTCCTCTCCGTTCTTGGAACGAACAACCTCGGCACAGGAGGCCGGCGCTTGCTATCGCTGGGTCACATGCACCTTCAAAGTCACGAGGTACGTTTATCTTATTTTTTAACTTTGCACATCTGCTGCTTTTATAAATGTAGGATTTGAAATGTGGGCTCTTGCAAGGTCATTGCCGATACGGTGGAGCGATATGTGGGGGCCACTGGCAGGAGCTTTTCAGATGTGACGTGGCTTGGCGAACGAGGGCCGGGCCAAAACGGCGCGCATTGGTCAGGCGCGCGCGTACGTGACCGCGGCGACCCCGGCGCTGGCAGGTTCTCCGTGGTGGATTTTGGGGAGTTGGCGAACAGCCGCGGGACGCCGTGCTGGATCCCCGACACGGCGCATCGAGGTGGATTGGGGACTGTCAAGCGGAGAGGGTTGTTCGCTGGTTTCAAGTGGTTGTATAGGTTTATCTTGTGTGTGTACTTGTTTGGCAGCAGCTTGGACAGAGCCCTTTTGGTCATTTGCTGCCTGGCCTTGTGTCCTTGCCTGTCGATTGGCCAGGCATGACCCTACATCAGATGCACAGAGTGCTGCACTTCATGGGGCATCAGGCGAAGACAAATGAACCACGAACACCTGGCAGAAGTCTGCGTTCTCGCATGTCAGCTGGAACCCCAAATCCATTCTTCGTGTTGAAATGGATGCAAGGGGTGGTGCCTCCCAAGTTCCTACTTCAAGTCTCTATGCTGACTGGGTCTTTCGGTCTTCACTCAGTCAGTTGTTGGCCAGGCCTTTGCGTGGCACGAAGCGCACAGGGACAGCCCCAACTACGGCAGTCGGATCTCGGAAGAGAGGCTTCGACGGCAGAACCAGGGGAAGGCTAGCAGAAACCACGCAGAACTTCAATCCCACAGCTGGATATTGTTGTTTTTGTAGGTGATGTGTTTTTTTGGGGCCTGACAGATTCGGGTTTGAAAGGAGTGAGATGGTCCACCAACCAACTCGACTCATGATGTTTGTTCAAGGGGCAGCCATATCCTGGAATCACTCAGTCTTCCCGTCCCTGAGTTATCATCTATTCACTCAGCCCCAGAAGTTCCCCTTTGCTCCAGCAGAGGTGGTACTTGGACATGTTCCAACTTGCATAACAATGCCTTGGTGTGACTGAGGAAGTTCAACTTGTACCACGCCAGCTACTGGATCATCAATCCAGCAACTCAAGGCACAGTAGACTAGACCAAAATGGACTAGACCCTAGACCAGACTTGTGATAAGCGCCGGTGAGCCTAGCGCGCTGGTGTGGATGTTCAGAATGTGTTGGGAGGTGAAGGTGCGCAAGTGTTCTTGCCCTAGCTTGTACGGGTGCACTAAGGTGCACGAGCCGACGTATCTGAAAGATGGTCGCATCAGATATATATATATATATATATTGAACTATATCTAGGTTGGTGGCATACTGCGGCATACTGGCCTTCACATCGTCATGAAGGATGCTGCACTAGCACTGTGCTATCGAGTTTTGTTGGCTGGTAGGTTGGTGAGGTCATTGATTTTTCAAGCTCGAGAGGCTACGGGCCTTTTGGTTGCAGCTTTGTCGAGCTCATTGCGGAGGACTGTTGGCGCACCAACCCCGTCGGCTCTTACCCCACCCCTCGTGGCACCCCTCCTGTTGCAGAGATTTGTGCTGCTTGCCAGGAAAAGGAGGCACAACGACCCAAATGGTTTGTGTCTCACGCGTGGTTGGAGCCTGTGTGCCTGTTTGCTGCCTGCCAAGCATTTGATGTTGGGCAGCTTGCGGTCTTGGGGCAGGTTTGATCAGATGCCGTCTCGCTCTACGATCGTTTAATAATCGTTTGTGGATGTTTGTGGACGGTGCTTTTGTTTTTGGGTTGGACACGTGGCTGGCATGAAACATCTGAACATTCATGCACCTCGGAAGCCTTGTCAAAGGTTCATGTTTTCAAGTTTGGAAAGGACCGGCTCCGGACGTCGATTCCTCAAATCATCCGAACGAACTCAGCTATTGTCAGCTGGGCTGAGTTGTCGGCCGTCGGACGAGATCTTCAGGTTGCGAATCTGTCTAGACACGCGCACGTGCGGCAATTGGAGCTGAACACGGCCTTCTGGGTGCCTGGGCGAAATGGAGTGGCACCTTCTGCCCAGATCAAGAGGGGTGAAGAAGATAGTCGGGTTGCAGACGCACATGCGAGTTCAAGCACGATTTGCTGGTTGTTGATGTTGTTTCTAAGGAGGCCATGTTTTTTCACCTCAAGTGTAGATCATGTCTGTTGCTCACCTGCAGGTGTGCGCTTATGCCAACAACCAGCATCATTTGGAAGCTGATGTGGGAGAACACCCGCGCAGGAGTCTGAAGGGTGTTGCCATTTCCTGTGCGGTCACTGAGTGAGGTTGGTCACTGAGTTGGAAGCGGCGGATCGTTTTGACAGTCAGCCTTGGGGTTTTGGACGGTCGGGTGCAGGTTCAGCCGTGGGCCTCCAACCTACAAGCGATGCCCTCCAACCCAATAGCGATAGCCTCCACCCTACTAGCGATGGCCTCCACCCTATTAGCAATGGCCTCCAACCTTTCAGGAGCAGCTTCTATCGTGCAATGCAGCGTTGCGAGGGTGTGGTGCTACTCTTGGACGATCAAGCGACTCCATTCTTGCGCATTTGGTGCTGCAACTGGACCAACAATTTGGGCGATCGGAGATTAGCGTCGTTTGGGACAGTTTCGGTGGCAGATGCTTGAGCATGGATACCAAATGGTACGGACTCAGAACATGCCTCTCAATATTGACGATCTTCATGCTGGCCTCGCTCAACCCGTATGCTGTCCATAAAGCCATATCACATATGATTCATGTCGCATGCTGCGCCCCCAGCTACCCCCGGGTGTCTGGCGCATGGCCCTTCACCGACCCGCTGGACCGCGATGACCGCGCTGACCGACCCGAGGCTTCGAGGAGGCCATCGCGGTGGAGAAGCGCAACGCCAACGAGCGCCGGCTGCTGTTGGACGTCTGCGCCACCGACGCCGATGGCCCCTGCGGACGAAGAATGAAAGGGACCGGACCGGAGGGGGGGCCGGATGGATGGGGTTCTTCCGACTTCGGCGGAGCAGATCCGTCACCAGGGGGGGTGGGTCCTGTGATTTGGATGTTTTGGACTTGTGTATGTTGCGTGCCTCGTGCGTGTGTTTGTTTTTTTGGGCTTGCTGGCTACTGTAGTTTCTGGGGTTGCAGGGGTGCAGAGCTCCAGTCCATGGAGCTCCAGCCGCCGATGGCGGGCGCGAGCTGTCCTTTTTGCAGCTTCACTGGCCACTGACCTCCAGGAATCCCCCTCATGGCCTGCCTTCGTTGAGCTGACGGTTAGGTGTAGCCCATGTGATCACCGACGGCCTGGCCGGTATCGAGAAGGACATGGTGCCCTTGCTTGGCTTGCATCATAAGACTCCTGGGCCCGAAAGAGGTCGGTGCTTTCTTGGGAGACATGTGCGGACGTTAGGAACTCCAGAAGGGTTGAGCAGTACTACTAGGAGCGAGGACGCTACGAACGGAGCTCCTGGCATCGTGAGGTTTGAGACCTGCATGGAGTGATTGAGTTGCAAGTCGCCCTTGAAACGAGTGAAGTAGCTTTGTTTTTCTCTGCATTTGGCCAACTTTGGAGTTGGGGGCGGCCCAGAAGCGGGGGCCAAACAAATGGAAACGACCCACGCTTAAGGACATGCAGGGAGATGACATTCCCTGTGCGAATCTTGGAGCGAGGCCGGACTTCAAGCCTTGAGCTGCGCGCATAGGAGACAATTCTAATTATATTCTTATTGTTACTAGTAGCGTGGCACTTGTTCCTAGTAGCTTCTTGTTACTACTAGTAAGGCACCTGTTACTACTAGCGTGGCACTTGTTTCTACTATATAGCTTCTTGTTGTCTCTCCTTGGCAAGGGCAATTGTTTGTACCATTTTTGTTGTAAGTTGCGGCTGGTCAGGAGAGTGTACCATGTCAGAGGCATGCGCGACCTTTAATTATGTCCTTTCTCTCACACTTTGCGGCAAGGCCTGCGAATCAATATTTTGTCAGCATCTGCTAGCCACGAAGCCGACAGGTGGGTTTCGCATGTCCAGTTGCCAAACACTAGTTTGGTCAGAGTCAAGATAACGTTTGGTTTGCTTCCGTGGTTCTACTATAATAACTACTTGGCATGCATGCTTTCGAGCACAGGAACTAACACCAAGACGCCTTTCGAAGGTCGAGCTGGTGTCCAAACCAGACCAAAGCTTCATTGCCTGGCATTTTTGCACAAGCTCTTGTTCGAAATGAGCCGGTGGGAGCGACGATTCGCCGAATTTCTTCACGCTGGCTAGGACCAGGATCCTGAACAGCATCGCCTTCCCGCATGCACCTTTGGAGGATCTCTCCGCCATCCCACCCGAGGACAACACAAGCAGCTTGTGGAGTGGAACATGGTGACATTGCTCTACTTCCTGTCGCTTTTGTTGCTGGCCTCAGCCGTGCCGGCTGGGCCCTCGAAGGAGCACAGCACCTACCAAACCGTGAATTGTGCCTTGTCCGCGCAGTTCGCACTGGCCAGCTGGTGCCCTTGGCTGCAGGTGTTTCGCCTTGGCTGATTACAATACAGCAAGACCTGGCGGAAGATACTGTAGATCTGAACCATCTAGTCCTTAGACGTGGAAGCTCCTTCAAGGACCAGTTGCAAGAGCTGGTTGAGACCTTGTCATCCCAGAGTCCCACAAGCATCTCCACAAAGCATCTGAGGTGCAACTGCATTTTGCACGGCTGGGATGCTGCGCCTTTAGCAAGGGCATTGTCGGCGGATAGCTCCAGGCGGACCAGAAACGGGTTCACTGCGCCAAGTCAGATACTCACAGATGGCTTCCGCAAGCCTTTTCGCACTCACTTCGCAAGTCTTTTTTTGAGGTTTTTTTTGGGGAGCCCCTTAGGCTAGGTGAGAGACGTTCGAGTGGCAGAACCTCTGGATTTTTGTTGACTCCTAGAACAATTGCCAAAGTCTTTGATGGGCTTTGGTAATCCTTCAATGCAGCGACGCGAGAGGCGAGCCGTGCAGCTGTCCTTTACAGGTTGCACCCGCTTTTCGGACCAGGACAGCCCGAGGATGGTCCGAAACCGACGGGAGGCCCACCGCTTGACCCAGCCTGTCTCAGCTCCAGGACCTGGCGATGCTGGTGGATCATTTGCCCGAATCTTTGGAGGCCGACCGGTGGGGGATCTCCAAAGGGAAGACCGTCTCCGCTTCGATGGCATCGAGCGCGGGGAGATTCGAAGACGACGGACCGAGGGATGGACCGAGCCGATGTGGCCAGGTGCTTCGCTTGGATCTGGGCTTCACGGGGCTACGGACCTTGGAAGCGCTGGAGGAGCCACTTGGGCGAGTGGCGCCGGGCTACGTTGGGAGGTGGTGGAGTCAGGGCCGAAGGAGCGGTTGCTGGTGGTTGGGTGTTTTGGTCCCCAACATGGGTGGTGATTCAACCATTCAACATCACTCAACCACTTAGGCTTCGGCGCTGCAAATCCTTGGTTCACTTGGAGCTCCGCTTTCCCGGCTGCAAGTGTCTTGGTTGGTTCTTGTCGCCCGTTCTGACTCGAACCCTGCGAGAAACGCCGCCGATCCGCCGTTCGGGCCGGGAACGGGTCGAGGTTTTTGCGCAGTGCTGCTGGCCTGGGCTCTGCGCTGGCTGTGGCCTGGTGGAAGTCAACAGGAAGTCACCATCACCTCACTTGTTGGTTCGGAAAGATCCGTTTCGCCGTGTCCTTGCGAGTCCGGGATGAGGAAACCACCAGGAAGCCACTCTGAGTGGGATGCTGCTGGACAAATGCCCCACAGCTCAGGCCTTGCCACAACTCCGAATGGTCGCGCTGTGGTTTTCCAAGCTGGTGAACTTGGAGGATATTGAAGGTCTTGACGAGGCCGCGACGGCATGTCGTCCCGGTCTTTTCGCAGGGATGAACACCGGAAGATTGGATTTAAACCTTGCTGGTGTGCAAGGTTTCGGCCCAGCTTTTGGAAGGTGCACATCCACCCTAAGTTTTTTTCCCTAAACAGTTTACTGTTGGGGTTCTCTCTGAGGAAAAGACACCGACCACAGCCTCTGGCCGGACCCCTGAACCCTGCCCCGTGTTTGGGTGTTGTCCTCCAGTTGTCCTCTGGCGCTCGCGAATCCTGTGTCTTCCTCTTGTTGTCCTCTTCATGTCCTCCCGCTGTCCTCTGGCCGCGCTGTGTCCTCCCGTTGTTCCTCAGTTTAGTGGCCTCATCTGGTCCTTGTCCGGGCCTTGTCCAGGCCCTGTCTGGTGTGTTTGCCACAGGTGCCTTGGGCCTTTCTTCTCCGCCCTCACAAGTCCTTTTCTCACCGCCTTGTCCAGGCCTTATCCCCTGCTTGGCCGCCGCTTTCATCTGCTTTCCCTTTTTCCACCGCCTTGTCCGGGTATGTTTTCGTGTGGCTATGAATGCAACAGTGATGCGGCGTTTGATGTCATCCTTGGATTTTCTCCAGACAGAACTATTGTTGTCTATGCCGCATTGTTTTTGCTTACATGAAATTCCCAATGCAGACCTTACTAGCAAGATTGGAATTCAAACAGGTTGACGCCACAAAAACTAATGAAACGGTTTGCTGATTTGGGTTTTGAAGATGGTGATGTGAACTCACCGGTCCTCCTTTGAAGTGGAGGCCAGGTAGTGGGTTTAACATACAGGTAAGCTTTCATGCTGTCTGCGACCATCCAGGCATCCGTGAAGCTGCACCATAACATACCATATATCCCATGAAATCCCAAAGTATCAGCAGAACAGACCCTGAGAGCGTTTTCTTTTTTGTGATCTCACGCCTTGGTCACTTGTGACGCCTTGGTCGTTTGTTCAACTTGCGTCGTCAGTTGTGCCGTGCCGGGAATGCCAGGCGTTTCCAACGCTCTCCAATCTCGAGGTGTGGATGGGAGGTTCTGTCCCTCGGAGTGATCAAGCTCAAAGCGCTGGCTGGCTCCCACCTGGTAAGCCCTGGAATGAGAAGACTTCATGAAAGAAATTGAAATATGTGGAAGTGAAGGGCAAGGCTAACTCGAGAGTCTTTCAAGCTTAGCCCAAGAGGGAGCCTTGAGAGCAGAGTTCCACCTCCCCCCCCCAGCTGCTCACTCCCTAACCATGTGGCTCGCCAGTGCTTGGCGCTCAACCTGGACAGATGTCCCAAAGTGCGGCTCGAGGACAGAAAGGCGAGGAGTTGGAGCTTTGTGCAGTCTGAAAGGGTGCAAGCAAAACACATTCCGTGATGGTGATTTTCGCCCTTGCTATGAGAGCCTTTTGGCATCTCACACACACATTACATACAGAGACAGAGAGACAGAGAGATAGATAGATCGATATACACATTAGATATTGGTGGAAGTTGTGTGTTCTCTCTTTCCAGAGGCATGAGCCAGAGAAACAGGGTATAGACGTGTGTTCAAAGATGACATTTCCAGGTCTCCTCGTGTCAACCCCAGTGGATTCCCCCTATCACAGCGATTTCCTTCAAAATAGATCAGCGTCGGGAGCTACATCTCCCTGAACATGTGTGAGATCTGAACTGGAGGAGGCACTTACTTGCAATTCTTTCTGTTCATGTCCCAGAATAGAGTCCTTCCACGTTCAAGTTTGATTTAAATTATCCGATGTGAACAACCGATGTGAAAAAGGGGCTGCCAAACACGCCCCCCAAGGCGCTCTTCAAGAGTGTCAAGAAGCTCCGACGCAAAGGGGTCTTGGAGTTCCTTGGCTGCTGAAAATTGGGGAGAAACATCCGTGCAAATTTGGGCTTCCGCAGCAGGGTACAGTTGCAGTCTATTCTGGACGCGCACATCTTGACTTGGTAGGTTTGCTGCTCTTAAAGCAGGGAAAGGCGAGTTCTAGGTGGCCCAGCCCAATCACCCTGGCTGCACGAGTTGAGCCAAGGAGCTGGGTGCATATCCACGGTGTCGAGCAGGAGGGGGGGGGGGCTTTGACACTGTGTCGGTGAAAAGGCCACAATGAGAGGGGGCGTAACCCACATGTGAGGGGTTTAGACTCCTTGCGGAGTTGTGCAGAGATCCAGCGCCGACCACGTCATGCCGCGGTTCCTGAGAGTCCAGCCTTTTCGCGTTGGCCACAGTCCCACGGTTCCGTGTTCGAGGAGAGCACCTTGGCGCGCCTGCTGAAGCGTTGCCAGTGCAGTCCCAAAGCCCGGGCTGCCGATCACACCGACCCCATTGTCAAGTACAGCTCGGAGAGGCCCATCTATCCACCAGTCTTGCTGGGAAGGCACGGGCCTCCCGCGCGACCTCCGCGCGTGCGAGAGGACTGTGCGGGACGCACGCCAGTGGCGCATGCTCAGGGGTGATTTGGCACTGTGGTGATTAGGGGTGGGCTGTGGGTTGCGGATCAAAGGTCTTCATGGCTCGAAGCTCGAAACTTGGCATGCCTCTGCCTGGACAGCTTCCATGGAAACAGCTAAACAGACCAGTCGGACAGCCAAAAAGGGCAGTGCATGGTGAATTTGCAGGTTTGTTCCTTGCCCCCCTAATGTTTGCCCGGTGAATGCCCACGCCGCAGATCTGTCAGAAGACCCACCAAGAGCCCCCCACTGCAACAGTCTGCGACATTCTGTGCCATGGCTAGTTAAAGCAAGTTCTTTAAGTGCCTAAGAACTTGCAACTCGGAGAAGCAAGTGAATCCCTCAACCTTTTCGGCTTTCTGGCCAAAGAAGTAGGGACGACCTTTCCATGAACCAACGTCTGCGGCGCTGATGCGGTCGGACTGCACCATGCTATGTTCGATGTGGAACGGAGAATTGGCCACTCGGCATGCATGGTCTGCAAGGTGGGGTCGTTTTCGACCTGACCTGAACTGCAGGTTTCTGAGTCCTTAGACTGAAGCGAACCACCGAACCAGATCGGCCTCTTCGACTCGCTCCCAGGTGACTCGGTGGGCCTTCAGGTGCAGAAAGCATGGTATCTCCTCCAGGCCGCCAAGCACAGCGGGCTGCGGCCGGAGTTGTGGAAAGCCACGCACGTGGTCCGCCAGGCAAGGCCTTTGACCATCCTTTTCTACCTCTTGCGTCCGTTTGGCTCACGGTGACACAGTGTCCGACATGCAAGGCACATGCAAGGCACCAATCCAAAAACCAAACCTTCCAGTGTTCAAAAATATTCAAAGCCCGGCCCCCCTTTGGCAAAGTTCTGGTGCGATGGCCATCCTTGTTTGATCCTGCATGTCGGAGATGGCTCCTGTTGCTAAATCCCTACCTTCAACAATCTTGCCCGAAAGACAGGTGAAACTGTCTTGGCCCGTTTGTTTTGCGAGTCATAGAGGGCAAAGTTCGTTTCAATCACAGGGGGCTGAAACGTCCAACTGGAGGCTGCACAAAGCTTGCAGTGGATGGATGCCCTGGATCTCACCGAATTCTTGGCGGACAAAGGCTACGCTTTCCATGAAGACTTGCGACAGAGCAAGGTCCTTGTGCACAGCCTGGCTGGTAGAAACTGGACGTAGATGATAGGGAACACCCTTCAATTCATTTGATTTTTGTTAAAGGGACACTTCAAAGCCAACACAGCTAAGGATGGACGTTTTGCCTTCAGGATTTGGAGAAGATCCAATCTGGTGGCTCGGTCGTCCTCACTTTGCACCGAATACATTATATAGTATCTTCTAGTCCGTCCATTTGGGGGGGCCTCAGCCGACCGCCACCCGCAGTCCCGAGCCGCGAACACTGCTGAGATCGCTACCTTCGAGTCCAGCCGCTGGCGCGCACGATGCGCGCCGGCGTGTCGGCCGACGCGTGGCCCACCGTGCTCCAGCTCTTGCAGTGCGTGGCGACGGACACGTCGCAGCTCCGGCGAGGAGCAACGGCGAAGAGGAGCCGAGTGGGAGACGACTGGCAGTGATGGTCCTGGAGATGAAGGTTGGTGGATGGGTGTGGTTGATGTTGAACTGTGTGTGTGTGTATGCCAATGTATGCCGTCGGGCGGTTGCGTAGGGAACTGTGCTTGGTGCATATCATGGAATCAAGGATCCCTCTGCACCGGCTTGGGACCAAATGGCTCGCACAGGAGAACTCTACTCAACGTGGCGCTCTCAGCCTTTGCTGCTGCGAGAGACCGCCAAGAGCCCCTCCTGGAGCAAGCACTTTCAGAGGCGCACGGGTTTCCAACGGTATCCAATCAAAACAAATCAAACCATTAGTGGCGTGTGAAAAAAACACGAATGCAAGGCACGCAAGGCACGCAAGGCACGCATGGCACGCATGGCACGCATGGCGTGGGTGAGAGGCTCCGACAGGTCCCATGAGTCAGGATGTTGGACACAAACTCTTGAGTGTTGCAGGCCTATGCAAAGACATCCTTACCTTGGATAAGGGCAAATGACCTGATGAAGAACATCAAGGTCACCTCTCTTCGTCCCAGCCGACGGTCTTGGAACCTGGTGCTGGCGGCGGGTGCGCGGAATTCCACCTGGAGGGCGACCTGTGACATGGTAAGGAGGCACCTGATGGTGGTCGCGTGGCAGGTGCATGGGTTTTTGGTTGTCAATCATCACCGAGGTTTCTGGCAGCAGCTGTTGAAGGAAGGAAGTCTGGACCGCATGAAGTTCATAGTTTTCAAGTATTCAGTATTCATACATAGGGTGATTGTGCAGTGCAGGACTTCTTCCTTCAAGAGTAGGAAGTAGATGTGCAAGATTGAAGAGTGGTGGTTCAGTTCACATCCACTGGCGGTTTGGAATCTGGGAAATTCATGTTCCTCTGCAATCCAGACAGGTTAGGGGCCATTCTGTGAACCTCAAGAAGACAATGTGGTGACATAGCCTCCAAGTTGATTTTTCCTTAACAACTTCGTGGAAAGCTGGTTGGGAGAACGGGTAAAGCATGTCGAAGACAACCAAATTCCTTTTCGCGACACCAACTCGAGGCGGGCTGCTGAAGGGGTCCGCATGGATGATATGGCACTTGAAAAGCTTCTGAAAGCGCTCAGCCTCAGCCAGGCTTGGCCAATGGCCTCTTGGAACCTTGGCAGATCAGTTGAAACGAGACTTCCGGTGAGTGCAACAACATTGACAAATCCCGCGACAAACCAGTGTGTCACACTTTCCAGTCCCCATTCCCACGTTTGCCTGACCATTTATTGTGCCAATGATAAATGCACACCACATCTTCCACCATCTCCATCCACTCCATGATATCCGTTCCTTCTTAAAGCCACACTTGATCTACCGTGTGGACATTTCGTCCTCCATTGGACCTCGCCAAAGGATCCTGGAGGACCAGCTCCATCAGCTACGCTTTGCTCGCCACTCCAAGCGCCTCTCCCGCGCGGCGCTCCAGGCCGCTGCCGCCCGCGCGGCGGAGGAATGGTGTGTGGTGCGGCCGGCGCCGTTTCAAAGACAAAGCTGGGTGAAGGCCTTGTGCCTCATGGAGGCTAGAGGGACAGTGGCCTGGAGAGGAATGAGGCAGAACGAGGGACTGAATCAATCTGGGGGTTGGTGCGGAAATGGGTTGGTGCGGTGTCAGCTGGAACTGTTGGGGGGAGACCCGTGAGACTCACAGTGCATGTTCTAAGGCCTGCGTTTCTCAGCGGGCAGTGCTGGAAGGGATGCTTGCAGCGTGTGCCCGGACTATGGAGACCTCGCGAGCCATAAAGCTGCTGCAAAGTGCCTATGCAAGGAGTGTGCAGGTGTCTGGTGCTGCTCACAGTCTTTTGTCGGCGATCTTTTGAAGCACAGCTTGGCACATTCAGAGGCAGCAAGAAGCTGTTAAATGACTTGTTCCTTCCAAAGGTCCCAACACGAGGGAACAGACCTCGTGTATTGAGAGAGTCGCCCTGTTTGATGCTTAGGCTTTGCCATGCACGCCGCGGCTTTGAAGTCTCGCTGGGGCTTGTCGCTCATGCTGTATGATGATTTGCGCCATTCTGGCAGCAGGCAGGTCCAGTGGCCCAGTGCAGGGCAATCCGGTGATTCGTGATCGATTTTCCAGCATCATGACCCACGACCGGAGGCCCACCGATGTGACCATCAACAACCTGGCCATTGCCTTTCGGCACCTCCCACGAAAGTGGGCCTCTGCGGGGCTTTTGTTCCAGGACTGGGCTTTTCGGCACCTGTGAGCCTTTACGCGGTGATCATCCATGAGGTGAACGATCGCCCGGCGATCGCCATCTCTCTCTCTCTCTCTCTGCGAAAAAAGAGCCGGTCCGGTCCGAGCTGTAGCCGCGGGGCCACGGGACAGGAGAGTACCAAAGAGTGTTCGGTGTCGATTCTTTTTCTCCAGCTTCTGTTTGCACCCCGTGACTGGGGCTGCACCGCCATGAGAGTGGTGCCTCCAGGTCTGGGAACTCCCCCCGAAAAGGGAACCCCCCCCGGTCCGAGTCCGGCGGCGGCGTTCAGAAGGGTGGTGCTCTCGGCGTGGTCCATCTTTTGTCCCAGAAAAGGGTTGGACTTGAACCTGCAGGAGATCCAAGCGCAAGCTCTGCGCCTCAACGCCATCTTCCTGGGCAATGCCGTCCGAGGCGCGCGGCGGATGTGTCCCGTGAGGCCCGTGGGAGAGAAAAAGGTCTCGGACCCCTCGACTCTAGCCGGTCAGCTGAGCCCCCCACATCGCATCAGCTACTCAGAGTGAAGGAGTCTTCTCCTTCCTTCTTGCCGCGTGGTGCGGAGAGGCCACGCAGGTGCTGAGAGGAGGACCTGATGGCCAAAGTGGCGCCTGTGTTTTTCTCCCCGGAAGCGGTTGGTGGAACATTTGGACATGTCAGGTTGGTTCAACACAAGATGAATTTTTGGCTGAGGTTTGTGGATGATCCAGCTTCAAAAAAACAAACGCTCTGGATGGACCTGGCCGTCAATAAACCGCTGGGAGCCAGGCTCTTCCAGCAGCAGGCAGTGGCAAGAGGCCGTCGAGCTGTGTCGCGTGACCCGGGTGGTCCAGCTGCGGTGTGACGCCTATGTCTTCAACAACGCCATGAGTGGCATGGGACGTCTGGCCCAATGGAGGCGGCGTGTGGCTCATGGAGCTAGGACGGTGATGAACCGGTGCATGTTGGGAACAAACGGGGTGAGCAAACAGCAAATGGCCCACCAGGCATAGAAGAATTGAAGAGCCCAGCTGCCTTTTTGGGTGTTTCCTTCTTTGCATCGTCCTTCTTTATCTCCGACACACCATGCAAGAACATTTTCTTTGAAGATTTCAGGTGATCTCATCCATAAACCCATTAATAAATTTGCAATTTGTCTTCCAAAAATATCTTTAATGAATGGCCAATGGGTTTATGGTATCTTAATTGATAAAAGACATGGAAAAACCCAGCGGCTATAAGCTCTACTATATTAAAACATGCCGATCTGAAAGACTGTCCCCAGACTCCTAGAGACTGCCCAGAGACTGCCTTTCTCTTGATCTTTTCGCAGGCAGACTTTGCAGTTCATGGAAGAAGCCCGAGAGACCCAGGTCTTCACCTCCGACCCCACGAGCCTTGGTGAGAGAGTGTCCCAGCACCGGTACAATAGCGGTGTACTGGTGAAGGCACTGGTGCCATCTCTACACCAAAACACCTCACACAAACGTGTGGACGCATCACACTGAATTGGCCAAAAGTGGGGGCTGCGCTGGTTGGGGCTTGAGGCTTCTGAACTCTGCCCTTTCTGGAATGGCAGCTGCTTCTCAACGGGGTCTCGCTACACAGCTGTCTCTTGGTATTTGGATGGCAGAGTTGCCTTGGCTTTGGAATTCTTTTGCTTCCACTCAACGACGTGCCTGTGGAGGGTCATACTTGTTTAAACAAGTATCAAGCAAACCTGTGGCATTTTTGGTCGTTTGTTTTGTTACGGCCGTGTTTACTCTCGGGGCGAGGCAGCGGACTTGACGGACGGTCGGTGTGGCAGTTGGTCGGTCACGCTTTGTTTGTCAGCCTTCTGGAATCGTTCTCGCAAAGTATGAACGTGAACATACGCCTTTTGGGAGACTTGTCCCAAATTCGTAGGAGGGAGTTCGGGTATGGCCGTTTCTTTGGGCTTAAAGCCATGAGTTGAGGTTGCAAGATCTGAAGCGCTCGGACGTCCGCATCGATGTGATTTCTATGGGCTCTTTGGCCAAAGCATTCGCGTCTCAGCTCCAATGAGACGCCACACAGAACCAATGTTCCCAATGTTTTGATACACAGGTGACGATGCAGTTGTTGATGGTTTTTTGAGCGAAACGACTGGTGCCATCATGGAATCAGTTTTCTGTTTGGAATTGACATGAATTGACAGTCACCTGCTGGCAGGAACATGAAAGCCTTTGGACCAGTGTGCTATCGACTTTGGATGCCTTGCGTCACCATGATCTGAACTTTGACTGCAAAGGGGAAGGTGTGTAAGATATGTGGGCGCCTTGTAGGTACTGCACAGGGACAATTTGCTGCTGGGACGAGGGCGGAGGGTTCGGGAATTTGCGAAGGATATGTATATATATATATATGTATGTCAGACCTAGCTTGAGAGTGCATTGCACTTGCATTCTAGTTTCCAAGTTTGCTGCAGATTCGGATGGCGAGTGGGTTGTTTGAGCAGTTTTTTTGTGGCATTCGGGAAGCGTTTGGTCCGGAGACTTGTTCACGAATACTAAGACAATAGAATAGATTGAACATGGTCAAGCAGACCGTTCTCCTCAGATTTTCCCAGCATATCTGATGTCTATATCAATATGAGATGCACCTTCTATTTTAACTAGAGCTCTGCCCAGGCGTGTGCCATGGGTAAGATGAGACGAGAAAGCTCCTTAATGCCTAGATGAAGAAGGGAAGCCTGTACCCTTGCTTTGGTTTGGTGGCCTTGGTGCAGTTTTTTGGCAAGTGCTTGGTGCAGCGAGGACCTTGAACCCCATCGTGTGGAGCACCTGTGCCAGTAGCTGCCGCCGCCAGAGTTTGTGGCACTGGTCGCTGCAGATCTTGCAGGAGCATCAAATGAAGGCCTTGAAAGTGGAGGACATCGGTCGTGGATGTGGGTCATAGAGTCATGATCGGCGTGGGGCACCGCAGGAACATACAGAAACAGAAACCGGATAATTGGAGGTTAGAACCTCTAGGTCACATGGGGAGATACTTGGACCATGTGACCATCCTGCAACAAGTCGTGGACACGTGCAATGAGGGACAAGCATTTTGAAGGCTTACCAGTTTACCATTCGTGTAAAGGTTGCCACCTAAGAGTAGGCAAAGCTCAAAGGCGGCTAGTTTTATCTCTTCAAGAGGAGCGGCCAGGAACTTCCCAGTCTATGTCCGAACCCGCCGGTGCCGTCCCCTGAGGAGTCCACCTACTGCCTGAGCGTCCATGCCTGTGGAGAGAACACCGCCTGGCGCGGCGCCATTTTCCTCATTGAAACCATGCGAAGCGCACGGTTGAGGACTAAGAGCGCATAGGTTGATTGGTGGACATGGTTTTTGCTGAAAGTGTTTGGAACCGATGGACCCACCTGTGCCGACCATCGCCTCATGTGAGGATCAGCGAACTTTTGTACCAGAACCTCCCGGGCATCTTCTTGCAGCCACGCCGTTTGACACGATAGCGCTGTGGAAAAGATGACACTCCCACCAGCCACTAGTGTGGCAACGCTTAAGTCTCTGGTCCGTGGTTCTTGCATCATCCCAAAGGAAGGGCTTCACTTGTTGATCTACATGGCATCACTAAGTAGGGAATTGGTCGTCCATGGCTTGTGCAAAGGAAGACGTTTCCTATCGTTTCTCTTTTTTCCTCTGCAGGGTTGGAACAGGATTGGGAGCCGATGAAGAATGTTGACAACTGGCCTCATCTTGCCACTTCCAGCTCAAGCCGCTGTTGATTCCCCACAGCTTGCCATGTCTGAGAAATCTATGGGCCCAAACCAGCGTGGTCAAACTCTAAGCCCGGACAAGGATGCAAAAGCCCAGGTGCCCCGCTCATAAGGCAGTCAGCAGCTACTCTCACTCAGAGGAGGTCCTGTCCGTTGGAACTCTCCAGCCTTCGAGCGATGAAGAGAGAGGAAAAGTAGACCTCCCTTTCCTGTGAGGACAGGTTTTGCGTTGGTACCAAAAATCATGATACGAAGCACCAAGCCACCTGTGCCTCCAACCACCTAGCCACCCACCGCTTTGCGCACCTCTGGCTCCATGCGCCTCTGGCGACGCTTTGCGCTTGGGCATGTCCGCCGCGTGCCTGGAAGTCGGAGACTGGCGACAGAACGACCGCCACCCAAGGCGTGGGCCGTGGCGCCACGTTGCGGCGTGGGCGAAGCAGAGCTGCGATCAGACAGAATTGGCATTTCATGGACCAAGTAGTCTGACACCCCAAAGAATTCAAAAAACGCGCTCCATATCTACATGGGTGTCTCAGATTCGTCCCAAAAGGGCGGGGAACTTGCTAGACCGACCTTGAAAGTCTTTGACGGACCTTGAGAGTTCGGTTCCCGACTCTCTGACCCGAAATCGGACGATCGAAGGCTTTCAAAGGCTCCAACATCCAGGCTGGGAGAGAGGAGAGCGGGATGGGAGGAGAGCGGGTGGGGGTGCGAAAGAGCCATTTTGTTGGTGACGTGGGGCTGACAGGGGGTATATAGGCTTGATGATTGAACCCCCTCGGCGTGTTCGCCGCTCCGCTGCCCCTGCTTCGGCCAGTCGCTGAATCCGGTCGCGCTCGGCAGGCAGGGTCACCATATTCCAAGGAGCTTCGCTTGCTGCTTGGCAAGTCAGCTGGAGGCCCGTTTTGGACCGGCACAGACTTGGCCACCAAGGGCGGCCTGTACAGTTTGAACGGTACAAGGCTCTCATCAGCACATGTGCCGTGTTCCTGAGGCTCGCGCATGTCTTTGAAACTGCGACGGCTGGAGATCCCAGCTCCGTCTGCGATGCCATCGAGCGCTTTGGCGAGGATGTTTTGAATCCCGCTGGTCAGTGGCTGAAGGCGATTTGCGAGATCCTTTGATTGTGCTTGGTTTTTGCCCGTTGTCCTTGCATGACCATAGTGCGCCAGATACAGACCCATAGTGCCAGCTCATCCGGACCATCTAGCTGAAAGCAGTGGTGATACATCGGTATCCCTGACAGGTGGCGGGCCGTCATAAGACCACAGTGCTGAGCAAAGCGATGAAGAACTGTCCCAAAGGCACCCGGTCCGGTGGCTGCCTGGGTGGGGGTGGAGGACCAAGTGGAACGCCCACGAGTGTGTGCGTTTGTGTGGCCTTGCTGAACGAAAAACAAAGCACTTATGGGCCTTGGAAGGGGGGGCTCACCCTGCGGCAAAGGGGGTAATGATGAATAAACTTCAGCAAACTCACCAATTGGACTGGCCGTTCTAGCTGGTGATTTGGGGTCAGCATGGTGAACGCAGTGCCAGGTGGCAGCATCCTTGAAATCGGCACCTACTGTGGCTATTCCGCCCTCCGCATGGCCATGGCTTTGCCCGGTGCCCGGGTGGTGTCCTTGGAAGTGGACCCGGCTCACATGGTCATCGCGCGGAACATGGTGGCCTATGCCGGCATGGCGCACATGATCGACATTTGGACGGGTCATAGCAAGGACGTCTTGCCACGCTTGCCTCAGAGGTATGGCGGGCGACACCAGTTCCGCCTCGGTGGGGTCTTTATGGACCAGAAGGGCTCCCGAGATTCGGAGTTTGCTTCGGAGATCTTTTGGTGCTTTTCTTGTTTGGCTTCGTCGTGGCCGCGCGGTGGTCAGGTTTGTCGGTCCTGCGGTTCGGTTTGGGTGTTGGGACTGGGTCTCAGCAGGGTGGGCGGAGACCCCACCCAAGGTTACCACGAGGATCTCTCTGTGATTGAACAGCTGGGGCTCTTGCTGCCCGGTGCCGTGGTTGTGGCGGACAATGTGCTGAAGCCAGGTTCGCCCTTGTTTCTTTGGAGGCTTTGCAAGGGGTCGGCCTATGACAACCACATCGTCCGAGTAAAGGAGTTTGCTATGCCCTCGGAGGCTTCCTGGGTTGGAGACAATGCTTCCCATAGTCTTTCCACAAAGACCCCATGGGCCGTGGATTCTACGGCAACTGTCATGTTTTTGGCAGTGCACCATGAGGCAGTTTGTAGGTAGAGGGGCCAGTGAAGTGAATGGGGCTGTCGAGAAACTTCCTGAGTGTCGTCCTGCGAGCGCCCTGAAGGATTGGATGTCTGTGAGCGTGCTGCGCCCGGAGGCCAGTGTGCTCTGCTCTCAGCCTTTTGCTGAGATCTCAACTTGCAACCATTTGCAGTGCAAGTTGCTGTTGCTGTTGCTGCTGCTGGTGGTGGTGTTGTTGTTGTCGTTGTCATCGTTGTGGTCGTGGTCGTGGTCGTGGTCGTGGTCGTGGTCGTCGTCGTTGTTGTTGTTGTTGTTGTCGTTGTCGTCGTGGTCGTTGTCGTCGTTCGTCAACCTTCACCTTCACTCAACTTGCTAGCTGCTAGGATTCAGGAGGACCTACGAGGTCTGACGCACCTCCCGCGCCACGCCTCACAGGCCGCGGTGGAGATGGAGTCGATGTCGGTCGAGGTGCCCACCGTGGAACGCGGCAAAGGGCAGGCGCCGCAGGGCGCTTGGCCTGTGCCGCCGGAGGAGCTCATCCAGCTGCAGTGGGAGTCAGACCGGATCCGCGCGCAGGCCACTCGGCCAGGCGCGTTCGGAGAGAAGAGCGTTGGACGTGTTTTATGTATGCTTACTCATGCCTCGTTTGAGTTTAGTGTCATTTTCCCCATGGTTTCAACTGACTAGTGCAGTGGCAGCTGCTGTTATCACGGCTTGTGACCCGAAACTGAAAGTTTCTTCTAACATAACTGGGGCTCACCCAGCTGCCTCTCTCACAGGACGTGGTAGTGTTAGCTTCGCAGAATGGGCCAGCTATGCCGAGGGAATGAAGGCGTGTGCTGCGGTGGAGAGACCTCGGACCGACCATCGGACCGCTCCACCGGTGGAGCCACGTGGTCCTTCTTCGCTCCTAAGGGTCTCTGATGATTCCGTGATGTTGTTGTATTGGTGAATCACGTGATTCCTGACAACCTGTGCTGACAATCTCACGTGATGAGTTCCCCCAATGGTCCCGATGCTCTGTTCCGTCCCCTTTTGTTCTGCTGGTGATCGGGGGCATGCACGCGCAAACAGTGAAGGGGAGGCCAAAAAATCACTCAGCCTTGTCTGGCACAACCCTAGCCAGCCAGTTGCTGTGTTTTGGAAACTGTTCTCCACTGGATCCTGGATCAGTGGCAGGAGAAGATGGCAAATCATGGCATCTTTGAAACAGAGGATGCTGAACAGCTGGAAAGCGGGGCCGAACTGTTCTGACCACCGCTCTGGAACCCGCGGTCGGCTGCCCGGTGTTCACGCCGCTCGGTCCACGCGGCACGCGGACCGGACCGGTCTGCCGTCGGACGCCTTGCGAAAGAGCGAGACGAAAAAAGGCGCCGAGCGAGCAACCGTGCGGCCGGTGCGGACAATTTCATATGAACACCGTGAGAGTCACGCGTCATTTTTTCCGCCGATGCAACGAGATGATCAAATTACATCTTGGCAGTTTTCCAGTATGTTCTTTCAGTATGAGTCCGATGTGCCAAGCTAATGGGTTCCAATTCTTGTGCAGATCTACCCGATCGACCGCGACGGAGAAGAAAAAAAACACGGACCGAAAAAAGCGTGGCGTCACGGTGGTCACGTGCCGTGCCTGGCCGCCAGGGCACATTCGGTGACCATCGATCCCAAGTCGCCAGTGTCGCCGAACCTGCGGCACATGCGATGTCAGGAGTTTGAGGCGGCCGTGCGGCGAGGGACGGGCCGTGAGGGGTGGGATGGACGAGCAATTGAACGAAGTTCCGACAACAAGAACTGGCAGTCACTACTTGACATAGTCGAAATTGGATGTGAGATGATGTGAGATATTATCTTAAACGTTTTGAGGGTCCGGGTGAATGCCAGGTAGTTTGGGGGAGTGCCTCAGGTTCCACGTCTATCAATCAAGGATCTGCTCAAACGTCAAGGGAAGCCTCCTTAAAAGAGAAAGTCATGCCATTCTCTTTAATTTCGGATTTTAGAGACAGAAGGTCAACTTGTCCAACTGGAGGAGGAAAACATCAAGCTGCCATTCCCTTGTAGCCAATATGGCTGCCGAGAATTTCACGACGTGGCTTGGAGATCTGGGACGATTTCGGCTCTTTCGACGTGGGCGGTTGGAGGAGGGTGACGTGGGTGTGGCGCATGCAAGCTTCACTGGATGTGGGCGTGAGAGCACCATGTGTGCCAACGCGAGCTCCAAAGGGCACCGGTTACTCATGTTGTCTCTCATTTCCACCACGTCCTTTGGTGCGTTCGCCATGTGTCGATGGCGCGATCGCGCAATCGCTAAGGATAGCAGCGGCTACTGTATCATCCATCGCCACTTCAGGCTCATCCGTGGATGATGTGAGGAAAAACGCGTTTGACCCTGTAGTGAGCGTCATGGAACCATGATGAACCATGTGTTGCATATTTAAGGTGACTATTTCGTGTGGGTCGTTTGGCCAGTTTTTCGCACACGGACGGCAGGGTTGCCGGTGGGACGGACGACTCGACGTCGTAAGCCATGACGACGTGACGCGGACGCCGTCGTCTGCGTGTCTCGCCGATGCGCATGGAAAGCGGTTCCAGGATTCCTTGGAGCATCGCGGGGTCAGTGTGGGTGTTCTTGCAGCAGCTTTGGCTGGCCTTCATGTTCATGATCCTTGCGGTCCTGGAATTAGAAAGCAAGGCATGGTAGTCTATGCAGCTTCCTTTTTTGGCCTTGTGAAGTCATGTATCCAAAACAAGTTGTGCTTCAACAGAAGCACGCGTTCTTGGCGCCCTGGAGGCGTTGTCCACTTTGATCATGGTATCCTTGTGCCCAATCCTATGCCAAGCAATGGCCGCCTCGATAGGCCCCAGTGGGAAGCTTTGGATCAGTAAAAACTGAGATGGCCGGAGGGCCTTGGGGCAAATCCACCTGAAAGGGCCGGGCCAAGAGCAAGGTGGACGTGGCGCAATGAATCACGTGGGTTTATATATACATTATATATACATGGGGATCCCTGTGGTTGAGATCATATTGGAACCACGGAGAGAGAGAGAGAGAGAGAGAGAGCGCTCACCCCCGGTGGAGGTGGCTCTGCCATTTTGTGGCTTTGCATCCTGGTGCCAGTGGTGGTGGGCGGCATAGGTGGTACCTCTGCCCGTCCCTTGGCGCAGACGAGTCCGCGAAGGACGCCCCAGACGCCCCGGACGCCCCGGACGCCCCGGACGCCTGAGGCTTCAACAGTATGTACCGCATCTCCACGGAGCATGAGCTCACATTGGAAGCCTTGTGCTCACAGATGCTGCCGCTTGGAACACGGCGATGAGGGGTCACCTTTGTTTAGAGTGTGGGAGCCTGATGGCAACAAAATCTTAGGTCAGAAAAGAGAGGAGAGAGAGAGAGAGAGATATAGAGATAGAGCGATATACCGTTAGAAAGAGATAGTGAGAGACTTGATGCTGTTGACGGTCTTAGGCCCTTTTCCAGACAGCCTTAGAAACATTTTCCTCTTGTTTTTTCAAGATTTCCCTTCCACCGAGGCAAGTGGTGTCAGTGCTGGAGAACTCGGCTCAAGTGTCTGGGAGAGAAGCTAAGCGTGTGTTTTTTGATTTCTTGAAAGAAAAGGCCCTATCATAGGGGGTACTACTCGTACATGGACACCATAGAATACCTGGTTCCTCCACCTATCCTCCCCTGGTTCTGTGCAAACCGTCCGACTGCTGTCGGGACGTATCGAAACTGTCCGACTGCTTGGTCCAAGCCGCCTTGGCGAAGGTCTCGACCGTCTTCGGCTGCGAGGACAACACTCGGTTCGAGGAACTCATGCAGGAGAGAAGTGGAAGCAGTGTGTAGGACGATGGAAGTGTGGAACCGCGACCGCGACGTTCCACCGCGGCGTTCCACGGCTCCAAGCTGCCAGGAGGAAATGGCCAATTGCCTCCGCGGCAACTTTCTACTTGCCCGTCGTCATGCTAGGGCCTTTGAGCGTGGCTTGGCTTTTCCTTTCATACGTGGCTGTGACGTTGGATTGCGCCCTGTTTCCGCACAAAGACCAGAAAACGATGGTCGAGATGCATTTCTGTCGTTCTTTCGTGGCGCCAGGAGAGGTCTGCGAACCCATCAACTTGGCCCTGGGACGCGATTATTCGCCGTCTTCAGGTGGGTGGTGGTTGGGATGCGTGAGATTCGCTTAGGGTTTTCAGTTATCTCGAGAACCTGATTGAACGTTGGCTTGTGCCGTCCTGTATACAGCAGCACCCACTCCATATCGAAGAGCCTGCAAGAATTCTCTACAAGCCTGTCTGTACCCTAGGCGTGCGTCCACAGATCAAGACTCTCTTCAGTGCCAAAGATGCGTTGGCTCGTCACAACAATCCGAGGCACCTTGCTGTCAGGGAGGGTCACCAGCAACGCTGTCAGGGAGTGGTGCGCAAGAGCACTTTACAACTGAATGGTGTGACACATGGAGATGTGTTGTGCTTCCATCAATCTTCGTGGCAAGAGTGGGCTGTTGGACGTGCAGGTCGAAAGGTGGCCATCCTTGGGTACAAATGGCATGGAAGGGCTTATGTAGAAATGTAGGAAGGTCAAAGGTCACTGCCCCCCCCACAAGGTGTTGCTCTTGGTCAACTCTGCTGGCCAAAAAGGATTGAATATGAATGCGCGCCTACTTTGCCCCAAGGCAGTTGATCGATCTTCTCTACTGTGATGTGACACTTGCCGGCAAAGAAGTGCAATGGGTGTGATTGACACCACGCCCTGCAGGCAACTTTTGGAATGCACAGATATTTTCGTAGCTTTTGTTCTCTGTCTCATAAGGCCCTACGAAGAAATACAGTTCATGGAAGTCCATGCATGTTCATCTTCGGATACAGACCTCACATACCGAACCATCCGTAAACGGATCTCCCATCGTCCCATCGTCCCATCGCTCCGATCGCTCCGATCGGTCGCGACCACGGTCTCCAATCGTCTCCTGCCCGTCGCGACGGAGGATTTGCGACGATTTCCAGGAGGTGCGTTCGGTACTTCAAGCCTTGAAAGGCAGGTCCGAACGGAGACACGGTGTCGAAGTCGAGGGTTTGTTTTGTGTATTCTGTGGAGACATGGTTGGTTGGTTGATGTTGGTTGGTTATTTTGGTTTAGTTTGGTTTGGTTGAGCTGTTTTCTTCGTTTTTTCTCGGTGCTGCTTGGAGCTGGTCGAATGGGCTCGGATATGGTTGGATGTGCCTCTTGTGGAGGCCGTGCGTGTGATGAAATCCCGGGAGGAATGCGTGTACTTCATGTGCGTGGCTTGCCTGCAGGAAAGCCAGTAGCCAAATACGTTTTGCGGCGTTTTGCGGACGTTGTATTCGCCATTGCATCCCTGTTGGTATAGCATCACTTGGGGCTTATCGGCATTGCAGTTTGCAGATGTTTCAAGGACAATGTGGCTTGCTGGCTCAGCGAACCAACATGTTAGTAGCTGCTGACTGGTAGTGGGCATAGAAGAGGGAAAAGGGCTGAACTCTTCTTTTCCTTTTTGGGCTTTGCGGTTGAAGTCCCTTGTACCATTTGTGAGGAACAACATGCCTTCTAAGTCGACTCCTTTCTGTCTATGTGAATGCAGTGATTTCGCTGGGCTCAGGTGATGGGTTTAGCAGAGACTTTCAAGACGGCGAAGGTCGATGTGGTCAGCCTCTTGGTGCAATCCATCGGCCTGACTCTATCATGTACGATCCATCGACCAACACGCATGACCTCGGGCAGGCCAAGTGTCCAAACGTTTCCCACAGGCCAAGCGTCCAACCGTCCAACACATGCCATGCCTGGCTCTGGGTCAGCCATTCCTCCATTCCTCCAAGGATTGTCGTTGAGCTGGATGGATATCTTGCGACCGTGACTTCACTGCACTCCATCTGCCTCCGGGGAGACTGTGTGAGCATCCCTCATGAGTGCAGACATCCCTCAGCCGCATCCTTCGGGCCCGACGGGGGGATCATCGGTCCGGGACGCCAAGGTCCGAGTCTACGAGGCTTCTCTGCCACTTGGCGAGTGAACTCGTGACGCGGGACGACCACATGTGTAGCAATTCCTTGAGGCTCGTTGGATCATGGCAATACTACTAAATCTAACTGTAACTGTATCCATACGCATATATATATATATTATATGATTGGTTTCTTCAACCACTTGGCAAACAAGGCCAGCTTTTGTTGTTTTTTGTCACTAGTTCTTCTTTTTCACCCCTCCAGGCGCGAGCTCCGCGAGCAAATGGGCCGCGTGCATCGCCTGGTCCACGGCTTTGGACTCTTTCAGGCGGCCCGGAAGACGATGCGGAGCGGAGCACCAAACCGGGTCAAACGAAGAGGCAACCAGAAGACGCCCCAACCGAACTGGCAAACCGAACCCCTAGGTAGATAGTCTCCCAAACGAGGAAAAAGGGACTCATGGTGGTCTGCTGTTCACTCTACTGTCCGTCTAGGTCTGCATGGATTTGATGGATCGAGAAGCTCCGTTGAGGCCATTTGTGGAGATTGCGCGCCTTGGGTGACACAGATCCTGACAGAAACCTTTGTTCAGACTGGATCACTGGAATTTGAAGATGTGGGCAAGTCATTGATCAGGTTCAAACCATTCATGCCCCCACATGGTCATTCACTCGTTCACTCAGACAGGTGTTACTTGGAAGGAGGGGAAACGGGAGGTGCTCGTTTGCGCAAGACTCGCAAGACCAAATCTGCCCAGCACACTGCTGCAAAAAGGGGGGTAAATGCCAGCCTGGCTTCGTTCACATGCATGAAAGCACGTGCTTGTCAGCGACAAGATATGACAAGATGCATGCCAGCTTGCCAGTTCGAGGCCACCTTGGTGGTTTGCAATTCTGCGTGCTTGCACTGGCATTATGCGGATCCTAGCGCTTACCACAGCCGCCTACTTTGCTGCTTGGCATGACCTGGGAGGTTCACCGGGCCTTCCCGCACCGACGTGGGACTGGCCCACCTCCCGACACTCGACGCCAGGCGGCACAATACTTCATCCGCTACGGGCCGCAGGCAGGGCACCAGTCTTCCGACGCGTTTTCATCTGAAAAGGGGCAGGCAGGAGACGGTGTCAGGGAGCTTTTTGGTTTCCGAAGTTTTTTTTTGCCATGTTCAAGCTTGGTCTAGTTTAGTCATTGTAGTCAGTTCCATGAAGCGCCCCGTTGGCTCACACATTTGTGGCCAGGCTGCGAAAGATAATCTGCCCATGTCATTGGACTCCTTGCTTGCTTGGTCTGATGAGCACAACAAGGAGCCTGACCGCCCAGCCGAGACCCGTCTTCGCGCTCCACCCGTCCGCTCGACCCGGCTCAGGACCTGAGAGCGATCCACGATGCCTTGGGGGAGAATGACAACCAGCTGGCGGCCTCCTTGGTTCCCTGGCACCAGGACCGGGTCGGATGCGGGTGCAGGTGCCGGTGCGGTGGAGAGAAGAAGAGCAAGTGGAGTTGGGCTGAGTTGGCTGCAGCGAAAAGGCGTTCGGTGTAGAAATACCGAAGTAGCACATCGAGAAATACACATATACGAAGAGATAGATAGATAGATGGATAGATAGATAGATAGATAGCTTTGCGATGGAAGCCCGGGTTTGAGTCAGGGTGTTGAACTCAAAGCTACTGAGACTTGTTGATGCTGGAGCCTGCCAGAACAAATGTAAGCAGTCTGAGTCTGACCATTCATGTCAAGTCCACGCAATACCGGGATTGTTTACGGATTTGCCTGCCACATTTTGGCAGCGGAAGGACGCGGATGGTGCTGCCTGGGTGCTGGGCCTTATCTATTCCATGCCATACGCTCCCTGGCACAGAGGATTGCTGGGAGTCAAGTGCAGCCACGTTCCCCTGTCGCGTTTTGAAATAGAATGGAGTTCTTCCCGCCAAGGTCATTCATGTGGCCATCTTCATTGGGGACCTGCTGCGCCGACCGAGCTTCAGCAACCTGACCAATGCGCCTCGGGCTGTTTGGACGACTCGGCAGGTCGTGCGCTAGAATCCGCTAGAATTGGCGGTCCCACAGAATCTCCTACATCAGCGGAAGCACATGGACTTGTAGCTGCTCTGTTTTCCACGAACGAAGGGTCTTCGGCTGGGGCTCGAATTTTAGCGCCGAATTGCTGTGCGCACGGCCCCACTCTGCCAGAGAAACCTCAGAGGAAGGAGGCCTTTGTTTGATTCCGTTGCCTTGACCTTGGAAACAGACGCTTTTCTCAGGCGCCCCTGAAACGGCTGAAGCCGATGCACACGATCTACGAGAAGTGCGGCAGGACGTGGACAGGAAGATGACGAAACGGCCGGCCCCAAATAGCAAAGTAGCACCCCCACCGAAACACGATTCTCCAAAAATACATAATAAAGTTGGGCTCTGTCCGTTCTTACCTGTAACAGTCAGTAAACAATTATCATCATTTGGCCAAGGCTTCTACTAACCATCATCATCCACTGTTACAGGTATTTGGATAGACCCAAAATTACGTTGTAGTCCAAGGAGTCCAATTGGAGACCGGCCGAGACCGCGAGGCCTGTACAAGCACCACGCAGCGCGCGAGGTACTTTGGTGTGCAGGGGACGTTTTACACTGCAAAGGTGGTGGCTTGTTTGCACTGGACGCGTGTCGGAACACCATTTTCCAAACTCTCCTTTGACTCGCCCAATGTGATTCAGGCACTGTGCCGATCTTAGCACGAATAGGAATGCGATTCAACCCGAGATTGATGTCCGAAGGCTTCAAGATGGAGCTCTAGTGGCTTCCCAATTTTTGACTTGATTTGCTTGGAAGTCACATGAATCCTTTTTTCTTTTGCCCACCCACCTTGTTGCTGCGGACACAGCCGGTCAGCCGGTCTGCTCCGCCTTTGTAGGCGCTGCTCCAGTTGGGCGCCTTGCCACTGCAGTGCTTCGGAAAGATCGGTCTCCTGGGGTCCATCGCGACCGCCGGTGTGTTCGCGGACTACATGGCCTGGCACAGTGGAGACCTGGATAAACAGATCCTTCGTTCCCGCGGTCAGTGGCTGAATGGGGCGTTTCGCCCGTTCCGGTCCGCGCCAAGGCCGATCACATGAGAAAAGACACTCATGTCAAGGATGTCATTCACCCCTTTGCGGGGTCGTGAGCGGCAGAAACGGGTGGACCGGTGGACCCGCTGTTTGGTGGACCGGCGCTTAGATGCCCAGGAAACACTTGAGGGTCAACATGACTTCATGACTTCATGTGCCGAGTTCACTGATGTTCACGGGGCTTTTGGAATCAGATGATGTGGCTTCTCGTGCCGGTGCAAGGAGAGCAAAACAATCATGCTGGAGACTTGCTCATCACCGGCTATTGGATCTTCGTGTTCTTCCTCGGTACCTTGACTCACGCACTGTAAGAACCTGCAGGGGGGCACCCGGAACAACCGACGCGGTGAACGACCGCACACGTCAACTGGGGGGGTGGGGCGGAAGGCATGCCGCTCCAACCTCCCATGTGCACAGATCCTTTCCCGGTTCCCCTTCGTGTTCGAACTTTCAGCTGGTGTAACAGTGTACCTGCCGAACTGTGGCATAGAAGCAACACAGATGTGCAGGAATGATTGTGGGAAAGGCATGGAGCGCCCTTTTGGCCATGCTACGCACAGCTTTAGATTCTGCCATTTTGACCCACTGACCTGCTTAGCACTGCTTTGTGTGGATTTGGACAGGCGTGAACTCCCTCTACCCGGCCATCCTCATTAGACTCTCGACTGATTAATTATATATTCTGCGTCTGGCTCGAGCTGGCTTGGAGGAGTTGGCTACTGAGGGTGGTGGAGGTCTCCTGCAAGTCCTATCATCAAGCAGCCAGGAATCTGCCAGATCCGAACTGATCGGTATTAGACTTCCGGACCTTCTGTAGAACCCCCATCCGACCGCCAAACCGCCCAGAGAGGTGCGCGAAACGTGGTGAGGTTTTGGTGAGATCCCCTGGACGGCCTTCTTGATCGCCTGCATGGATGCCATCGTGCACCTGTCATACATCCTCATCTACCTCTCGATGAGCCCCCTGTCCTTCTTTAGTTCTTTAGCCTTTTGTAGGTTTCTTTTTTTGAGATAAACATTTGAGAACATGACATGTTTGGAATATGACATGTACTTCGTAACGTAGCGGCAAGCCTGCGCCGCCTTTGACATTTTGCGAGTTTGCCCCATCTTGCTGCCTCGGGAAACTATCTTGCTCATCGTCAGCTTCAGTGATGCGGTATGTGTGTCCAAATGTATGAGATATGCCGCCATCCTTGATGCAAGCAACTGAGTCTGGAGGAAGCCAGAAAAAATAAACAAACAAACAGCAGCACACGGAGCAGATGATGAAATTAAGATACTATGGCCTTGCATTGACTTGCAGAGGCTGTCAGAGAATTGAAATCATCAGAAGCAACATTGGGGCAGATCATTTCTGGATTAAGGAAGGCAACCACCTTCACACCTCATTGTTTGTTCCATGTTCAAGAGGACCAAGATCTCCCAAGCTTATTTGGTGTGAACCATGTCATGGGAAATTATGGCTGCCATGTGGGTCCCATGATACTTGACTCTACTCATGTGGTCCACGTCATCAGGCTTGATCTCTTTGCACAAGTTGCGCTTCAAAGACACCGTGGTCTTTTTGGGCGATGTGGCTCTAAGACTCAGCAACGAGCTCAACCCAATTTTTCCGTTCCCCACCACCTTCCTGGGTGACTTGTCAGAGGAACAACGGGGAAAACGTCCTACTTGGAGCGGCGATTGGTTGCTGCAAAGTCAGTGAAGCCGAAGCCAGGTTTCCTTGGAGCCTTTTTGGGGGGGCTGGCGGGCCTACACAGATGCCGAATGGGTTTTAAGCGCCTCCTTGCTTGTGTTGGTAAAGAATTAAAAGGTTTGAATTATTAACCCAGGAAAGTTCTTTGCAGATGGGAAACTATGTATGATTGTAGAAGACTATATAATCATGCAGCGTCCCTTAAACAGTCGGACTCGGACGAGGAGGAAGGAAGAGGGATGATCCTGAGGAACGGTGACTGTTTTGAGGTGTATGATGAATTTTGTGTCAAATGATCTTCATGGCATATGCTCAGAGCCTTCTGAAGGGTATGGAACAGTAGACCTCCCACAAGCCAGTCTCGCCACACCTATGAAGTGACACTCGTTCCTTCAGGTTATGTCTCCATCTACATCTCCTTGGTTCATGTGTGCTGCGTTTGCCGGGTTCTGGAGGATACCGGCGCCCAATTTGCCTTGTGGGGACACCCAGATGCCGGACTCTGGACTCGTCGTTCATGGCAAATCAGAGCAACCGACGTCCACCAAGTCAGGAGAACCCGAAAACCACTTCGAGGCGTCGAATGCCTTGATACCTTTGGTTCGAGAAAGGCCGCCCCCCCGCACCGTGGCAGGAGAACGCTCAACACAGGCAACCCTCGGAGATGAGTTGAAACCTTCCTTCTGAAGAGAACATGCTACCTGACACAGCTGCACTCGCAGATTCTGAGGAAGCGCTCGGAAGAGGATGGAGTCAACCGGAGCTATTCGAGTTTCAGCCTCAGCACCGGGAAGCCTTCGACGTCCTTGTGGCAAGGCGGGGAAGTGCCGAGACAAGGGTCCGGTGATGGCAGAAACAACCTGTAGTGCAAACATGAACGTTCTGTGCGGTCGTTGGGGGAGAAAGAGAGGGAGAGAGGGAGAGAGAGAGAGAGATTCACCAGCTGGGGGGACTTGGAACTTTGGAATGGGGAAGTCATGAAAAGGGAGGCATGAACCGGGTTGGCATCCTTCCCGTTGCTTTTGTGTATATTCGGCACCACATGAGGGCTCATGCTCGGCACCAGCCGGCGAGTCTTCCAGAGAGAGAGAGGCCTACGGAAGCGTACCCGCTTTGGTGTGTCCTTCTTGTACTTCCTGTTGATGATTGGCATCGTGTTGTGCTCCATCGTGAACCAGCTGCCTGACTGCCAAATCCGGCAGCCTGGGGTTTGGGATGGGAAGGGCGCTCTTCAGAGCACGAGATGGAAAAAGAGATTGGGTGTAGCATGATGTCGCTCCTTTCACACCAAAGCCAGCAAGCCCCTGAAGGGTGAGCCCGCAAGGTTTCCACAAAAGCAACGAACAAGCAAAGCTTCATTTCACAGGTATGTCATGTCTCAACATAAGGGATTTTGGATCTCAGGGACAGCTCTTTCAACAAAGACAAGCGCTGCCTAGCTACACTTTGCCGGTGTTTGACCGGCACCACACTGGTGATGTAAACCTGCACATCTTTTTGATCCACATTGTAAGCCGGCAGGCGTTGAACCTCCGAATCAACCGTTTGATATGAATCGGCGGTTGGATTTGATGGGTTGGCGACCCAGAACTAAGTCACAACTGCAGCCTCATGGGTTTATTGTACTTTTCTGTCCTTCCAGTGCATTGGTTTTCAGCCCAACCCGGAGTCCGTGCCATGTCCGCCAAACCTGGCGTCGGACCCTACGTGTGGGCAGGTCCGTGCCAGTGGTCCGAGGCATGCTTATCCGAAGCAAGTGATGGATCCCAGGTGCTACCCCTGCACGTGCAACCAGGTCTCGCACCTCAGATGAAACAGAAGGAGGGCTGCAGCTGCATTTTTTTTGGTAGGTTGGAGGGTGGTGTTTTCTTTGGGAAGGGGCGGCAGAAGAACTAAAGCAGGTTGAAATCACGGAACTTAGGTACCCGGCTGGCAGAGTACCTAGGGTGCTAAGGTCGGGTGATAGAACAGGCCTTTATAGTCACCCTCGTCCAGTCAGTTCTATCAATTCAACACGGAAGACCCGTGTTTTTCCTCGTTCAAAGGGAAGTGCTGGAGCTTTGTGGTCCACCGAGAGCCAACCTGAGCAACTCGGCCAGGCGTACACTTTGACGCACACATCACATGGAAGTGGATGGAATGGTCCCTTGGAAGATGACTGACTACTTACCGTACTTTCCTTTACAAACAGGCGGTGAACTCCACTTCCATGTGATGTGTTCGTCGGAGTGTAATTGATTTGCATGAGTCCGTGGGTCGGCCTCAGGGATGGGAGCCTGCGTCTTGAAAGCTGCTGGCTGGCATCCACGCTGCGTTGCTTGGTGAAAAACAGGATGTTATAAGTCTGGGTATATAGCACCTTCCAGTTCGACCTGGAGTTTTCCAAGGACGGCCCTCATCGCCATGAGGGGAGAGGTGCATGAGACACAGACTCCATGGTCCAGCAACCCCTTCCCGCGCGGCGTGCGGTGAACAGCACCCCGGTCCGAGGTTTCAAGTACCTGAATTTGGCACAGCGCGGCATCAGTGACCCGGTGCTGAAGTCTCATCTAGGGCTTAAGGGGTTTAGATGATTTAGACTCGTGTCGTATCTTTTTTGATTTACTGCTGGGCAGGATTGTGTATAGTGTTTTTTTGGGAACGCTGTGGCATGGAAAGTCATGTCCCACGGACCTGCCGCTTCTGCCGTGTGCATACAGGACATTACGGTTGTGGAATGGTTTGGGAAAGCAACCTCCCATTTCCTGCTTGTTTGCAAGCTTTGTCTAGGGAAAAGCAGAATATGATCCTGAGCAGGGCTGGGCATTCATTCCCCATCTTGGCACATCTATGCAGGGTGGGCCTTAACATACACCATTGTAGCACAGGCACAAATGGTACGCGATAAGCAGCGTGGCGTGTACTTTGCGGTTGAGTTGCAAACTGGACGGTGGGCCTTCACCCCTCCAGCTTTGTTTCAGCCTTTAGCACCAAAAAAGCTTAAAGGACACCGCAAAAGCAGAGAACCAGAAACGCAGAGAAGCAGATGCTGCAAAAAAGCAACGGAGCCGCGGCGCCCATTCCAACGGAGTCGTGAAGGTTTCAGATGTAGACTGCCATGTAGACTGCGTGGAGATCAGGGCGCTCATCCTCGTCCCCAGATCATCCTCCACCATCGCGGGGAATAGAACAAGGTGGACCAACTTGATCAGTCCACCGTCTTGATTCACATCCGTCCGAGGCGAAGTGGCGCCCAACGCTTTGGCACCTTTGGGCCAGGACTTGCTCATCTTATCTCTGGCGTCCAATGAGCTGAGCCGATTACCTCCCGGTGTCTTCCGAGGTGGGAGACGGTGCTTCCAGGGAGACGGTTTGGACTGACGGATGACGGAGATGCCGAGTGGATGGGGGTCCAAACGGTTTCCAAACAGACCGACATCCAAAGCGATACACCATATCCAAGCTGACGGGGGGTTGTATGGGGTTCTTTGATGGACCATTTTTGAATGTCATGGATTAGTTGTGTAGGGAAGATCCACTTCGCACACTGCTCGGTGGTTTTGGATGTCCTTCGCACCAGGCACGCGCCAATCCTCTTCCAAGATTTTCATCACCAAGAGAGCTAAGCCAAGCCCCTTTGTCAGCCCTCGAGCTTGTTTGAGCAAGGAAATCTTATTCCCTTTAGGTTCCACAATGCTTGGGGTCAACCATTTGTAAACCTTCAACCCTTCCTTATAAACGCAGAATCAGCAGCCAATATGCAAGCTGCAATGCCCGCTTGTCGTTCTGACCTTCTCTGCCCCGGCCATGGGAGGTCTTCATCAAGCACGGCTATTGGACCTCAGCCATTGCTCGCTGTCAGATCTGGCCAAGCCTACCTTCGAGGGGCTGATGCACCTTGGAACAGGTAGGTTTGTGGTTAATCACGTTTTTTATTCTTCCTTGGTCCTTTCAAGCACTTCGGTGGGCAGCTTGCAGGATCTTCCAACATGTTCTTTTTTCTCAGACTTAGCTGGACATGGAGAAAGCCTCAAGCATTTGCACCGGTCTTTCACTAGGGGTCAAGCACGCATTCCATTTGACACAGTTGCAGTGCACAAATAAAGTGCAAGCACATGGTCGTCTACAAACTTAGTTGAGCTACGCCCTGTTTGCTTCATGGAATTCTGAGGCGGTTGGGAAGTCTTTCTTTGAGTGGGAACCATATCAAAGACTTGCCGCCAGATGTCTTCCAGCCCATGAAGGAGCTAAAGCAGGCACGGCTATGGAACAGTTCCAATGTCACAGCGGATGGATGAAAAGGCAGTTCCTTTTAGAGGTGCCTCTTTGACTATGTAAGAGCATTCTCCCAGTCCCAACGCCAAAAGGTTCCGACAGGTTAACTTGTATTGGCTGAATTTCCTCCTACCACACGTGCACCCCTAGGCCATGGTCATGTGACTTGCTGACTTACTTGGAAGAATAGACGTGGACGCTGGCATAGGTCCACATGGGAGACATGGGGTCATACGTTAAGTAGAACCATGTTGGATTATGATGGTTCTAACCAAAAGTCACACCAGCAACCGGTCGGTTCTCACCTGTTCATGCTTGTCTCGTTGTAACAACTCACCAGCGGTCAACTTTTGCCTCTTGGATTGAGCGGTGGGTCGTGCTCGTTTCTTTTTTCAAATGCGTCCAGTCTTGCTTGGTGCTTTCTTTTTTAAACCCCACCCTCCCTCTGCTAAGGGGAGATGTCCACCTCGTTGCGACCTGAGGCAACTGAGGGACCATTAACTGGGGAATGGTTTGAGTGTCCTCAGGCAGGCTGGACCAGGCTAGATGAGTTGTGTCGGGGCCTCCCCACACCGGTTTTTGGGGTTCCACTCGACAAGAGAGGAGTCGCGTCGAACGATGAGTAGAGGGAGAGCTCACATCGATCGCCTCAGATCTTGTTGGGCGGTCCTCGGCGCAACGTGGGCTTGGACAAGCGCTTTGGCCTCCCTGCGTTTCGTTGGCTGCATCGATGGGAACTGATGGGACCGATCAAGGCCAAGTTGGTGCAGGTGGTTTCTGTGTAGAGCAGAGGAGGATGTTCAGCACTTGCCTTTTCAGCACGTGATTTCGTGCACATGTCATTGTCGTTTCCTTTCACCACCAGCTTTCTTTCAGTTGGCAGACCCTACACAAATAGTATCAAATAATCAACAGTCAATCTTGCCAAGGCAATCTTTTGCCTGACGATGAGAGAGAGAGAGAGAGAGAGTCGAGAGAGAGGTAGCTAGTAGAAGCGAGTTTTTTCGGCTCAGGGTGCCTGTCTTGGGAAATCTCCTGACAGATCTGCCACCGGGGATCTTTAAAGATCTCAAGTCGCTCGTGCGGGTCGACCTCAGTCAGAACAGCAGCTCTGCCGCATGTGGGTGCCACCTGAACCACGACTGGCGGCTCTGGGCGGAGCTAGGGGCTCTGGCAATCTCACTCTGCTCTTTGGGGAAACTTCGCCTGTGGTGTTGGGTTGGGTGTTCGTCACCTTCCCAACCTAGACTTGCCGTGTTTCTGCAACCACCCAACCTGGAATCCCCATCGGCTTGAGGGATTCTTCATTAGAATTCTGGCGTGGCGGCCAAATCCATGCGCCGACTGAGGACTTGCCACATTGCCCACGGGTGTCTTTGACTCCTTGCTGCACCTGGAACACTTGGAGTTGAGGGACAACCTGTTGGAGGCCAATCTATCCGAAACGTGCGGAGTGCTGCCGCACGGGCACGTTAATCTCAAGAACTCAGAGTTCTCTTGTCTTTTTTGGGAGGGGGCTGGCGGGGGGACACGAGCTGGCCGGCTCAGATGGGGGGGATCGCGACGCGTCACGCGTCGTAGCAGCTTTGCACCAACTGGTTTGATGAAGCCGTGGCGAGCCCTCCAAAGGTGCAGTTTTGAGTTCGATCGCCGAACCAGTGGCGATTTCGACCATGTCGCTCGGCTCCAAAACAGGAGCTGGGAAAGGAGGCGGGCCCGAAGATGGATGGTTGGTGGTGGGGCTTGGTGCTGTAGGACTGGTGTGATTACATATTTAATGATTAACATGTTATTTATGGAAACTATAGTATGTTGCCAATCTCATGTGATACGTACCCTTGTTCCTATCTGAATTTCTCTTTGTCTTTGCTCCAGTCCCCTTTTCACAGCCGAACATTTAGCAGTCTCAGAATAAATCAGACCCTGCAGCCTGCAGCCAGCCACATGGTTAACTGGTTAAGTGGCCAACTCTTCGGTTAACACACATACACACTCTTGCAAAGCTGAAATGGCCCGGCGTTCTTCTGACAAGAATTCAGCTGCAGCTGTTATGTGTGTGTTTCTTCTTTCTCGGCCACTTGGCGCAGGCCTTTCACAACCTTCCAGCTCTGCGCAACCTATCTCTGCAGAACAATGTCCTGAGGACAGATGTGAGCCAAAACTGGGCAGGATTGCCATGGCATGGACATGTCTCGCGGCCGGGGCCGGGGGGGTGCCCGTCAGGAGCATCGACGACAGAGCCTTCAATGACTTGAGATCTTTGCGCCACTTAGACCTCTCCAAGAATCAGCTGGTCGGAATTTTGCCAAAGCTCCAAGGCTCCTGTGCCAGCCGAGACGTGTTTGGGGGGACCTTTGTTGAGGATGAGGGATGTAATTAGTCCATCAACTTTTCTTTTGCATCCTTTTGCCTGCAGCATGGTTCACATAAGTTGGCTATTGGGGCCCCTTCGGGCTGGCAATCTGAGGGCTAGGTCGGTGTACTGGCTGAACTCTTTTTGGGCTGGCTGCTGTTCCTTTGCAAGCACCTCCATGCTTTGTCAAGCACCTCCATGGCCTCTTTTTCTCCAGGAGCAGTGACACCCCAAGCCGTGCCCTCCTGCTGACAGCGTGAGGCTTGAGCAGATTGCAGAACTTGGACCTCTCAGAGAACCACTTGAGGGACGTGAGCCCAGGCCGGACCTGAAAAAGGCTCGGGACGTAGTCGAACAGAAACATGAAGCAACTGTCGAAACACGTGATCAGCACTAGGAAGTGAACCTTTTCACCACTTTGTTCACCTGTCCGACATGGGAATTTCGCTTCAAGGTGCAAGTGTGCGGTCCTTTTTTTGGAGCACATGGCACAAACCACTAGGCTCGTAGTTGATTCCTAGATCCTTTCAACAGTTCAACATCGACTCGAACTGAATTCGCCATTGGCGCGTTCCAGGTGCATTTGTGCTGCTGCCGAGTTTGACGGCGTCCTGGCTGTTTCGACCCGGTTTCTCCTTGGGAGGTCTCGAAGCAGAGTGTGCAAACCCCGGAAGAACCGAGGGCGAGTCAGTGCAGCCTCAGCCCCACGGAATCCTCCAGAGACTCGTCTTGAGGCTCCGCACTTTTGACCCCAGGGCCTCACTGTTGACCCCCTAAAACGTCCGGGAGGGACCGGAGTCCGGGAGTTCCTCTCGTGGGCGGATTTGAGGCGCTGGATCTGTCCGGCAATCACTTGATGAACCTGTCGGGAGCGGGGTTGGAGGAGCTGAAGAACCTGCAGGCGACCACCACGGTGCCAAAAGCTGCCTAGAAACGTGGCAAGCGGATGGATCTGGTATATGTATTTTTTTCCAATCAATAGGTCATTATATAAAGGAATACACCATTCGGTTTATATATATATATAAATTATATGTTGGGTCTGTCCTATTACCTGTAACAGTCAGTAAACAATTATCATCATTTGACCATGGCTTCTACTAACCATCATCATCCATTTTTTAGCAAGGCCTTTATTGACCATCATCATCATCATCATCACCATCATAGTAATAATATGTAATAATAGTAATAATAATAATCATCATCATAGTAATAATAGTAATAATCATCATCATCCTCCACTGATACTGGTAACAGGATAGACCCAAATCAAAAGTCCATATGTCTCTTTAAGAGACAATTCGGTTTATATGTATTACTGTATATGTATTTTTATGTATCATATTTCTCTTTGTGAGGAGGGGTCTAGCGTTTTTTTCCCGTTGCGACCCGCCCCGCAGACCTGCAGGCGCTCCGCCTGGCGGATCTTCGCTTGGTTTCGCTGCCGACGTCCCTGCCCTCCTCGCTGCGGAGCTTGGACGCGCGGAGCCACTCGGACGTTGGACGGAGTGGGACTGGAGCCCCAAAGGCCAATCGCTTTACCAGTAAATCTTCTGTTTCCCAACGGAAAATGAGAGGTGTTTTAAAAAAACGGCCTTCCACATTGTGATTTGCATTGTGATTTGCCAATTGCAGCAGCTTCTGAGATATGAGAGAGGCAGTTTGGAGGGGGTCTCATGGCATGTCTTTTCTAAGGGTCATGGATGTGACTGTCGAATCTGCGTCGGGCCTTGCACACGTCGCATGAGGCAGCGATTTGAAAAGCCTCGACGCTGGCATCTTGTCAACCCGGGAATGTCTTGGCCGGTTGGGGGTGGTCGGCAGTGGCCATGACCGATACTCCGATACTTGAGTGGTTATAACTGGTGGTTATATGAGTTATATAGGATAAGTTATGCATGCGTTCGTGGCCTCAGCGTGGCAACCCGCTCCAGAGGCCGAGCATCTCCACTGCCCAGGAGCTTTAGAAGGCCTTGACCACTTGGAAGAGCTTCACCTTCAAGACAATCTGCTCCTCAGGTGTGCCATCGATCCCGATGTTCGTCGGGTTTGTTTGGGGGGTCTGGCTCGGTCTGGTTTCTTTCTGCCAGGGGTCACTGGCACTTGCTTGACCTAAGAAGAACCACAGCCACGCCTGGGACATGTGGCCCGATCCGCCCCTCGGCCTCCGGCCGGCGTACCGCGCCAGCTTGATGTTTCCTTTGCGACTGCCAGAGCTCCGGGCATTGAATGTCAGCCACTTGGAAGAGAGGGTGCGGATGGGGAGCCATGGGGAACTGGAGCAGGACCTGTCAGATCAAGTCAGGAGGATCTTTGGTCTCTTCCACTGTGAAGATTCAAGATGTTTCAAGATGATGTTTCTTGGTTCGTGATCTAGAGCTTGCAATGCGGCGGACCTTCCCGGTCCTGACCAGGCTCGCTGTGGTACCGGTCGGCGGACCTTGGCCCAGATCGCTCACACGGTTCGACGCGAGGTTCGCAGGTCGCGCGACGAGTCGCACGTCCTGCTCAGGTGGGAATTTGTTGACAGACTTTGTGCCCGGGGCCTTTCAGTCCCTTGACAAGCTGGATGCTCGAAGCAAGAAGCTTGGGAAGTGGACTGGAAGTGCTGGTCTTTTGACCAGTCTTTTGACTCCAGGCTTGGACATGGAACCCAAATTGGGAGAGAGTCACACCACGGCATGTGGGTGTGCATTTTGATAGAGAGGCCACCCAACCAATTTGGGTGGTCTTCTTCCGCGGAGTTCATGTGTCATGTCTCCGAGGAGACCCTGGATCTTTCTTGGAACTTCCTGTCCAACTTCACTGCCGGAGCGCCTCACGGCTGAACGACAAGCACCGCGGACACCGCGTCGACACCGGAGGGTTCGGGAAGCGTCGGCGCGGTTCGGGAAGAAAGGCGATCCCGCCTGTGAGCTGCCCAAGGGTAGATATGATATGAATTGATATGATATGATAACATGAGACAGAACCCCCAGGGCTTGGTCTGTAAAGGATGGAGGACACATATGTGATCATATATGTGGGGATGGCTCATGGCACCGACGTTCGCCCGACCAGTCTGCCAATGTAGCGCGCGACCGATCGCTGGTAGGTCAACCAAGTCAAGGTATATTAGAGATCCGGGTGCCATGACCCACAGCCATTGAGAAGTCCCTTCCCACCAAATTCTGGGAGAGAGGCGTCCCGTCACCCGCCCCGACTGCGTGACCGGCGTCGGCACGCGCGTCGTCGTAGACGTCGAGTCGTTCTGGCACGGACGGAGGTTCCCTGCATCGCTGCAAGTGCTGAACCTCTCCTTCAACCTCTTGGGATCTCTTCCACCCTCGGCCTTCGCCCAGAATGGGAAGATGTGGTCCTTGCGGATGTTGCCTGGTAGTTTGAGGGAGTTGGAGGGCAAGGAGCTTACCTTTCTCTTCTTTTTGTTGGGGGAGGGGGCTTTGAACAGTGAAGAGTTTTGAAGTCGAGGGTGCTAGTAGATCGATAGATGAACAATGATAAACAGCTTGAAGTAGCCAGATGGTCAATGATTCTGATCGATCCCCGGAACATACAAGCATCTCCCCGCATTCTCCTGGCTTACACACGCAAGACTCCTTGTCTCGGACTCCCTCCAAGGCAGTCCTCGAACCTTAGCGATGTTTCAGAGGGCTTTGTGAACTTGACTTCGCTCAAGGCCCCTGGTTCGGCGGGTGGAGATATCAAGTTATGGCGCACTCAAGCTGAGACCCAGAGGATATACAGATACAGTATGCATGCATGATATATATATATATATATACACATGTCTACACACTGTATATATATATATATATCTCGCTCTCTCTCTCTCTCTCTCTGTATCGACTCTCAACACCGCGTATGTTTTGGATTCGGCCCCTAGCTTTGCAGAGCCTCTGTGTAACCTGTGTCCGGGCAGGACTTGGATCTTGCGAGGAATCGCCTGGCAGAACTCCCACTCTCAGCCTTCGATGCCTTCGGAGAGCTCCTTCGCATAGTGACTGGGCCTCCAGATGGTGGAAATGAAAGGGAGTGAAGTTTGGCGGCCTACGAAACATCCCATCGACCGCATAGTTGGGCCATGGTGGACAGTTCCTTAGAAGAGGACCTGGATGTTGAACTGAAAGAGGGGATCCCAATAAGATCAATTGACCAGCGATGGTTGATGGAGTTGAGGACCTCTCTTTTCAACTTTGAACGGTTCTTTCCTGGCTCAAACCAGAACCGCTGGACGACCTGAAGGTGTATCCAGGCAGCACCAGACGCGTGCGTAACAGACCAGCCCGTGAAACCATGGCCTTGCGACCTGAATCGGTGGATGACTGGTGCCAGTTGATGCCCAACTTGTTGGAGGAGTGTTCCGATGTATTGAGACGGTGAGTGAGAGCAGATGTATTTGAGCTGGTCTAGTTTTTGGGCAGACGCCACCAGTGCTATTGCCATGCAGAGTGTGGAAGATCCAAGTAGCAAGGAGCCAAGGTCTTGTTTGGTTGCCCCAAAGGGGCAGCCGCAATGGTCACTCTGTTGAATCTCTCTCAGGGTCTACTCATGGTCTACTCATGCATGTGTTGAGACAAGCTACTATTGGGTTCGCGTTGGTAGAGGTTGCTCTCGCTCCAGGAGAACGGTTGGAACAGTGCCATGGTCACCTCAGAGGCTGCCTTGATGAACACCAGCTGCCCCTGGGGGGGGTCACCTCATCAAGTTCGAGCTGAAGGCGAAAAGGGTTCCGCTCGTTGGCGCTTCCGGCCGTTGGCCCTAAACCTACGTGATAGATGCCATGTGCAGAGGGAAACTGAGGAACCAGAAAGGGGAAGTGACATTGGTCACAGGGTTGTGCTTGGTGAGAATAGACAGACAATACATAATTAGACACGAAGAACTGCACAACTGCCTTGCATACTGTCCAAACTAAGATCAGTGAGGTGCTCACAGTATTGCTGAACCATTTGTGACATAAACCAAGGTTCTGACTTGCCATTCCACCTCGATTGTCCACATAGATAACAATCTTGAAGCCTGTGGGTCTTTCTTCTCGCGAGCACATCGGTGTCCCGCCGCATTCCAACGCCGATCTCCGCGCAGGAGATCGCCATCCACCACGCGCCGGAGGAGACGGCGAACGTCATGGTGCGGCCCGAGGTCCGATCGCTGCAACCGGATCAGTGCCCCATCCAGGGTGGCTTGGGAGGTGAACACATGTCGTGGCGTGGGTGGTGACTCTCAACACATTGGGAACGAAGGTGGAGACAAAGGTGGAGGAGGTGCTTTCTTCAAAATGGCGCCAGATCTGGGAAAAGTGGGAAGATGGTCAATCTTCAGGAGTTGGATGGAGTTGGAAAACGCACCGCCGAGTGGCACGCGCAGTGCAATGTGATGCAGACCTTCTTGGTTTGATGTGGTGGTATTATTCTATTGCAACCTAATGCCCATTAACATCATTCAGACATCCGGACATCTAAAGAATCATAAACAGTCAAAGAACATCACCAGCCTTGACCTGGATTCGTTTGATGACGGAAGAGTGAAAGCTCACCCAAACCCTCCAAGTCTTGCACCAACTCCGAGCAACCCCACATTCAAAGCTCCCAAGACCCCCAAAACTGTAGGGATCTGGAGCTCACCCCCCTTGACTTCCGCCGCTGCGCTGCGGAAAGCGTCGTTTTCGCCGTCGTTTTCGCTGTTGTCTTCCTCTCTCCACGAGGCATCAGTGTGCGCTCGGTGGACTTCGTGGCGCCGGGCGAGGCGGTCGTGGAGGCCACGAGCTCTTGGAGCATCGTGAGGCGGCTTGGAACAAGCGAAGGGCGTTACCCATTTTCGGGCATCGCTACTAGCAAGGACGCTACGAACGGGGCGCCGGCATTTCTAGGAGCAAGAACCACTAGTCACTAGTAGCAAGAATCCTGAGGCTCTGCTCGGTGCTCTTCGGGGACATGGCCGGCCAGGCCGACGCCGCTAGAGGGAGGGAGGGAGCCGGGATGGTTTCGGCCGTTTCGGCCGCAAGGGGGGGTATTCCGGCGACGTTGTTGCGGTGACGTTCTCTTTTTTGTAATGTTCTTTTTCTCCCGCGGAGGTGGTCCACATCCCAAGCATGATCAGTTGGGAGTTTGACCAATCCAATATCTGAATGGCATATGAATGGCATTGAATGGTTACGGTACGTTAGATTAAAAATCCATTCAACACCAGTGGGATCTGGAACATCCCGTTTAATGGACAGGTGATGAACTACTTCTTCCGTGATGCTGAGCCAGTGGCATGGCACCAAGAGGTACGCCGGAACTATCCCAAGGCCGGCGACAGCGGCTGCGCCTTCTGGAAGGAAGAGGATGGTGACGACAGGTGCGGGGAGACGTGGCGCGTGGATCCAAGGAACGGGGCGTTCCCCCCTCGCACGACCCCATCGACCAAGCGCCGGGGCGGAGCTCGGGCCGGCTCCGCGTCCGCGTCCGCGTCGGGGTGGTCTGGGCAGGTCCCAGGAGTTCATGGTCCTCGTACGGCCTGATGGGAGGGGCACCTTCACCACCTATGTGGTGGTGCGAGTCTATGAGGATCGCTTTGCGCAGTGGGCCCAGGACGGGGTTTCCGGGCACCGAATTGGGAGGGAAGGTTGGTGGATGTTATGTGGATGTCACGAAAGGTAGCCCTTTAGGGGATACCTTGAGTTTGTCTTGCGAAGCAAGTGTTGGGACGTCCGGGTCTAACAATTGATCACTCAATTCAAACCCCCCCCCCCCCCCCCCCCCGCTCGAATTGATTTCTCAATACAGACCCCCCCGCCCCCCCGCCCCCTTGGAATGGATTTTTCAATACAG